AACAGCCCTCGCAAGTACAGGGAAGCCTGGAGTGTACTGATCAAGAAGCATTTGGATGCGGGGACGAATTCGTCCATCCAACTCGCCCTTCGCATCGCCGGCAATGCTGATTCCCAAGTCCGACAAGGCAGTCCTGCCTCGTTGGGTCAACGACTATAGAGCGGTTAATGCGAATACGGTCCATGACGTCTTCCCGCTGCCTCGAGTAGACGATATTTTGGCGGATTGTGCTAAAGGCAAGATATGGTCGAAAATCGACTTTACGGACTCGTTCTTCCAGACTCGAATGCACCCAGACTCGATTAAGTTCACTGCCGTTAACACGCCCTTGGGCCTTTACGAGTGGTTAGTGATGCCCCAGGGTCTCCACAACACCCCGTCGGTTCAACAACGGAGAGTCACTGCGGCCTTGAGAGAGTACATTGGCCGTTTCTGTCACGTATATATTGACGACGTGATCATATGGTCCCAAAACGAAGCGGAACATGCGGAACATATTCGCAAGATTTTCGCTGCCTTGGAAAAGGCGAGGTTATACTGCAATGAGAAAAAGACTCAACTTTTCGCTTTACGAGATAGACTTCCTGGGCCACCACATTTCACAACGTGGAATCGAGGCCGACAAGGGTAAAGTCGATAAGATCTTGAATTGGCCACGTCCGAAAAGTGCTACACATGTGCGCGCCTTCCTTGGGTTGGTGAGATTCGTAGCTCAATTCCTCCCCAACCTCGCCGAGCACACTGAAGTTCTTTCAACGCTGACCACGAAGAACGCTGATAAAGAGTGGCCAGGTTGGGATAAACACCATCAGCGCGCGTTTGATTCGATAAAGGACCTGGTGTTGAGCGCCGATTGTCTGGTCTCCATTAATCATGAAGATATGGGCAACAACAAGATTTTCGTGACAACGGATGCCAGCGACACCCGCTCTGGTGGTATACTGTCCTATGGACCAACATGGGAGTCCGCACGGCCCGTTGCGTTCGACTCCATGACATTTAAAGGTGCAGAGTTGAACTACCCAGTTCACGAAAAGGAGTTGCTTGCAATCATCAGGGCGTTTCGCAAATGGAGGAGTGACTTGGTGGGCTCCGAAATCCACGTTTTCACGGATCACAGAACTCTCGAGAACTTTTCTACGCAACGAGACCTGTCCCGCCGGCAGGCAAGATGGATGGAGTTCCTCTCTCAGTTTGATCTTAAAATCATCTATGTCCCCGGGAAGGACAATGAAGGTGCTGACGCGTTGTCGAGAACGGACTTCATCGAGAACGACCCTCATGATGTGGATGGCCTGCCGGTGCTGGCTCTGCCAGTGATGGCGGTGGTACCTCCACAGATTGGCGCTACCTTGGCTCTGACACTGACACGCGACCGACCGAATGTGCATGCTGTGAGCGCCATCATGGATGTGCGCGCTGACGCAGAGTTGTTGGATATGATTCGAGAGGGCTATGCACTGGATAAGTGGACTTCCAAGTTACCGAGTTTGCTCAACTCCTTGCCAGGTTTGCGCGTGGAGGATGGGCTTTGGTTCATTAACGACAGGCTGGTAATTCCCAGGCATGGCACGTTGCGGGAGTCTCTCTTCCAGCTGGCTCATGATGCACTCGGGCACTTCGGGTTTGACAAATCCTACGCTGCGCTGCGAGATAGTTATTACTGGCCGAATATGCGCAAGGAACTCGAATCCGGCTACATTCCGGGCTGCGCAGACTGTCAGAGAAACAAGTCGTCAACTAAGCGTAGAGCCGGGCCTTTACATCCGCTGCCGGTGCCGGATGGACGCATGGACTCGGTGGCGATTGACTTCGTGGGCCCGCTGCCAGAGGATAATGGTTTCAACTGCTTGGCGACTTTGACAGACCAACTGGGAGCAGATATCCAGCTGGTTCCAATGCGAACGGACATTTCTGCAGAAGATTTTGCCTTACTATTCTTTGATAAATGGTATTGTGAAAATGGCTTGCCGCTGGAGTTGATCTCGGACCGCGATAAGCTGTTTATTTCTAAATTTTGGAAGGCGTTACACAATCTCACCGGCGTCAAGGTCAAAATGTCCACAGCTTACCACCCCCAGACGGATGGATCTAGCAAGAGGACGAACAAGACGGTCATCCAGTGCATACGTTATCATGTCTCGCACAACCAGCGTGGGTGGGTCCGGGCACTGCCGCGCATCCGGTTTCACATGATGAACACGTTGAATGCGTCGACGGGCTACTCTGGGTTCCAGCTGAAGACAGGGCGAGCTCCCCGCCTTCTGCCACCTCTACTGGCCACCCAGTCGTCAAAGGAAGGCTTGAACGCCAAACGACTGATTGAACAGCTTAATGATGACGTGGCTGAGGCACGAGACAACCTGTTAGCAGCAAAGGCTACACAAGCTGAGCAGGCCAACAAGACTCGAGCTCCCGATCACGCCTTCAAAATCGGCGACAGAGTTGTCCTCAACACGAAGAAACGACGCAAGCACTTTTTGAGTGCTGGTAAAGGCCGCGTGGCAAAATTCATCGTCCGAGGGGATGGGCCCTTTTCAATAGTCGGAGTCCACCCAGAGTGCTCGACAGTGACGCTGGACCTGAAGGGCCACAGCAGGTTACACCCTGTCTTCCACACATCAGAGGTTAAGTTATTTGTGGAAAATGACGCGACATTATATCCGGGCCGTAATCTGGACAAACCTCCTCCGATTCTCTCGCCGGAAGGGGAGGAGGAATACTTGGTAGACCGAATTGTCGACGAGCGAGTGATCCGAGGTAGGCGACAGTTCAAGGTACATTGGTATGGTTATGGTCCCGAGGATGACGAATGGGTGGAGGAAAGTGAGGTCCAGGATCTCCAACACCTCGACGCCTGGGAGGCTGTCATCTCACAGGATGGAATTACTGACTTGCGTGGCGTGGAATCTCAAGAAGACGGGCCGCTGCTCGTGGAGGACGATCAAGATCCCGGCACTATTCAAGAAGTTCAAGACTCGAATTCAACACCCATACCACACGAGCTCGGCATTCGCGATCGACTCCGGAAACGGGATTCGAAGGGTAGGGCTGCCACGTCTGCCGCATAACCCATCTATGATGGTATGTGAAGTGCCTGCAGTTGGCATGTGGAGGTTATGGTTTTCTCTTAAGTGGGGGAGGGTGTAAACCTGGAGGGTTTACGGTGACGGTCACGGACTTTTCTTTCTCTCTACACGCTACATACCTGTACGCGTAGTCTAGGCGGAATCACCCCAGCCAAGGGTCTTGTTGTTATCTCGGAGACCCTCATCAGAGCTCTAGTGTTTCCGGGCCTCCTCGCCTGGTTTCCACCAGTATATAGTTGGCGCCCTAGCAGGCGGACCCTTAGAGTTTCTTCTCTTTGGATCCTCCCCTGCTAGGTCCTCTGTTGTATTTCCGTAGCTTTTATTCACGCTTTGAATCCTCCCCTGCTAGGCTTTCGTCGGAGTCTCCAGGGTTGCCCTTACAGCAGAAGAAACTCTCTATGGGATTAACCGGTCAAGATTGCCAGGTTTGGCACTGATTCAGGCTCGGAGTACGAGTCCGTACCCCCCTTGTCACCGCCCCTGCCACTTGACCCCTCCTCCTCTGCTCTTGTCGTCTTTACGCCCGCTATGTCTACCAGAGCTGCTCCAGACGCTGACGCGCGCATGGACGCACTTGAGGCGAAATTAGACAACCTCACCAATATCCTCACCCACCTTGCTTCCCAGGCTTCCACTGCCGCACCACCTTTGGCAGCTCCTGAACCACCTTTGGCATCTCCGAATGCCCCCAACACAGACGCGTTATTTGGTGACATTACTGTCGCCTCAAAACTGATCTTACGACCAAACCCCCCGTTTGCGTTTAATGGAGACCGCAAACGTGGCCGTGCCTTCCTTTACGGGGTCAAGACTTACGCCCGGCTTGCCCCAGAGGCCTTCGTGGTCAACGGAGAGCCGAGCGAAGAAAAAGGCCGTCCGCTATGCCATGTCCTATATGGCGGAGGGACCTGCTCAGCAGTGGGCAGAGCATCATGGGAGCAAAACCCCTTTCCCCTTCCCTCGGTGGAACCTATTCCTCTCTGAGTTTCGCTCTCGGTTCGTTGAGGAGAACGAGCAAGACTAGCCTATATATATTGACTACATGAATTGCAACAAGCTGCATTGAATGCCACACTTCGGGTTAATCCCAAGTCTCTGCGGCACCACTTGGGCAACATACACACCCAGGATGATCGATGGCACTGCTACCATTGGCAGTGGAGCGGTTTAACCAAAGCCTTGCGTATACAGTTCCACAACTCAGGCATATTTACTCTCTTTCTATTTCTCGTTTGTGTCACTTTGTGCGGCCAAGTGCATCGGAGCGTGATAGTAGTTGCGGCCAAGTGAACCGGAGCGTGACAGTAGTTGCGGCCATGTTGTGGCCTTGCTGCGGCCTTGCTGCAGCTGTGTCGCGGCCATTTCGTCTAGCCCATATTGATCAATTGCCACCTGCCAACAGAAGTGTTCATTGGATTCCTGTCCACCAGTGTGTTGATGTGCATAATAGCATATCATCTGTGCTGGTTTCACTTCACCTGGGCTGTCCAATGGCTCAACATGGTGTCAATAACCCACTAGTGGGTGAACTAGTAACAGTTACTAGTTAGTATTGCATGATTATACAACTATTATATAGGTATATCAACTAAACAAGTTTGCCTTGCTGTCAGACAGGGCTTAAGCCTGAGCCCTAGGCTTGGCAGGGCTAGGGCTTGGGCTTGGGATGTTGACTGGCCCAAGCCCTGAAAGCCCAGCCCTGCAGAACACTACTACTTATGATCTGAGAGGATAGGCTAGGTCTTATCTGTAGTAAGCATTAAGATCTGATCATAAAATCACAATCTTATTATCCATCTTGTCTTCTCCTTGTCTTATCTTATCAACCAGGACCACAAGAAAAGGTTCAAAGGGCAAAGAAATAAGTTTCTTCGACCCAAGGTTCAAGTTTGATAGAAACAGAATATATATTTACACTAAACTTCTATCTGAGATCTTCTCCAAGTCTGCTGAAGTACCTTTTCTTCTCTTGAGTCTATGTACACAAGGCAAGAGTGCAGACCACAGCTCCTAGAGAAATGAATCAATCCAGTAGTTGCTTAAAAAGAAAATATCTTACCTTCTGGGTTCCAAATACTATTGCAACTGAAAGTGGAACTAATAAATATCAGCTACTTGAGATATGATAATAGTGAGGTTATACATACTGATTGTAAGAAGTGTGACTTCAACTGTTGTAGTAAGATTCATTATGACAACTGTTCTAAGGGGCCAAAATGTTATATTTAGATTTTATAACTAGAAGTTGAATACTCACACCATAGCAAAGGCTCCAGCAATTGTGTAGAGTGACACTCGAATAAACAAATGAAGTGGAAACTTGAAATCAGAGTTTTTTAGATTCATAGCACGGAGTGCAGCTCGTTGTCGGATGAGTTGAAAGGTCATATAGCCTTGTTAGAATATCAGCATTTGATATTATATAAGAAAAAATTATAATATACCCTCCATAATAAGCATAGCTAATATAGACACAAATACAATTGAACCAGTAGTCAAAGTCCTAGTCATGTAGGGTCAGCTTAGAATTATTCTCCAGTTGAAAATTTACTTACGGAATTTTGCTAGTAATGACATGACAATAAACACCAGTAGGATCCCGTTTAATCTTTTGAGCATCATCAGATAGCCCAACCTATTGCTTTAGTCAGCTAATATAGTGACCAAGATCAGGTGTACCCAAAGTGAGATCCAAAAAACTATACCATGAATCATCGGAATACTCCAGGTTATCTGAGTATTCTATTAGTAGCTATAAGTAAGTCATAGATACTTCACACATACCCTATCAACCAAGATATCACTTATTTTCTTGGAGTAAAGTGCAGAGGACAGTCGCAGATATAACTAAGTAAATGTTACACAATATTCAAAATGCAAATAACAAAATATTCAAGTTTACCTCAATCACAAAGCAGAGAGCTGCGGCTGCAACCCTTGGATCATTGTCAAATCAGAATAAATTCTAGAGGAAATCAACACACATTGGTGGGGCAGCATAGATCAAGGCAGCCGAAAATGCACAAAATTGTAAAGGTGGCTCCGGGCCGGTCTGATGCCCAACAAGGAAGAGGAATGACAAGCAGCAAAATGCACTTGAGAGCTGTAGCAGGTACCAAGTCTTCACCCTTTGAATGCCCGAAAGCCGAGCAACAGTGACACTGAGTATGAGGATAATGAATGCGATCACAGTCAAGACATCGAAAACGATGACAGATTCTGGAACGGGACCAGCTATGAACATATAGTCATGCCCTAGAAGCAACCAGGGCTCATGTAACTCACCCCGTGCATGCAAGCCAGAAACAACAGCAGAGTTCATGAGGGAAAGGAAAGAAGGGAGTAAGTCTGGACGCTGAGCAGCTTAAGACGGCGTTTTCATAGCATCTGTCATGATGAAGATACTGTAACCCGAACAAGGGCTCAGATGAGAACAAGACGAGAACAAAAAGAAGTAGATGGCTCATTGCACCCTGAGAAATATCTAGAGCTGTATCCTCAAGCACTGCTTGCTTTTGACTATCTTCTCAGTGTATCGTTGATAGCAGCCACAGCAAACAGTCGGCGCTAAAGTTCATCAACAAGGTCGTAGGTTGTCCAAAGCAGTATGGATCCCTCTATCAGACCCTTGAATTGTTTGATCGCGAGAAAGATGAGTCATAGCCCAAATCGAGCTGCCATGCCCAACTCCGCGACCCGACGTACTTCAACTTCGGTCAGCCCAAGCCCCAAGGGCGGGAGAGCCAACAAAAGCGCATACTCTCCCTCCAAACTCGTCCGAAACGGAAGCGTGTCGTCAGTCTGGAACATCATGAACGCAAGCAGAACCTCAAATTATAAGACCGACGCAGATAACAACGGGATGGTCGTGTTGGATGTAATAGCGTATGTGATGGTCTTCAAGACGAGGAACTGTTTTGCATCTAAACATTGCTCAGTCAAAGACGAGATCTGGGCGGGACAAACAGTATATTCGAAGAGAGACAAATTTCGATACACATTTTGCTCTCGCGGACAAGAGTTTTGGCTTCGTCGTCCAGGAATGTAGCATGTCCAAGACGATTAGGTTGGTAAGATAAAAGCTGTTTTGTTTCTTCGTAGCTGTTCTCAGCTGTCTATTGAAGCATGAGAGTAGGAAGCTACCAGAACAAGTGCCCACCTCCGCAATGTGAAGCGTTATCAACAAACCAGCTGTTTTCGCCATGTCGAGGTATTCTTCAAGGATTTTCATGTCGCCTGCTCTCGGATCGCCGCAAAGATCGATGCCAACGACGCGTCTTCCTTCCGATTTCAGCGAGCACGCAAGGTCCACGCACTCCTTCAGTTCCTCCACACCCATCCTTCTGTCTAGACTGACGATAAAAGCTGCTTTGTGTGACGGATATTGCTCGACTTCGTCCAAAACTGCATGCAAGTACTCCTTCCGTGTCATCTCCTCGGTCTGTCGAGGGGTACTTCGCAGCTCGAGGTAAGAGCACCATGGTTTGGTACCATCAAGAAATTGACCGAGAACAGCACGAGTTGCTCTCCTCATGTTTGTGGTGTTGGATGTGAGGGCGTAGATCGCGGGAAAGAGCCCAAAGAAGTCGTGTATTTCGTCTAGAATAATGCCCTTTTGCAGCTTTGCAATGCCCTCTTCGACGATTTTGGTTTGGGCCGCGTCAGATATGTATTGGGAGGCCATATCTTGGAGTAAAGAGAGCGGTAGACAACCATTCAAATGAGCATGAAGTTCGGCTTTGGGGAGGCTCTGAATGAATTCTCGTTGGGAAGGATCAAGGGAGTCGAGAGCCGCTGCTGCTGGTCCGGCAATGACCATAGCGTAAAACAAGGAACGGTGGTGTGACCGAACGCGTGATTCTGGTGGTCATGATGTCTAGATAGCTTAAACGACTGCCTCTGTATGAGCCCATAGCAGCTCTACATCTGATTCGCTACCCGCAAAGGAAGCCATCCCAATGTCGTCTCCGTCTGGCCCTCTGCGAGATACGCCCGGTGATGCTTGGAGCATGGCGTACAGTTGATGCTCCCCACATTCTCCAATCGATTTAGCCACTGTCCGAGTGGCAAGCCTGACCGCTTCCCCCGCTTTTCTCACCTCTGAATTCGATGAAACATCGTAGAGGGGCGTATTGACGGGTCCTGGTCGTGAATGGACGAATGAGATGAATGGGTATCGAATAGCGAAGCCCTAACAGAATTGTGAGTAATCATTGCGTTCGGTGTTAATGCACGCACCTTCACCATCAAGTCCTGATATGTCCCCACTTCCAATCCCGTCTCTCGCAAATCAGACAGCCCTTTTATCGACCCCAAAGCCTTCTTCATACCCAGGTCGTTCGCGTCCAGTGCTTTTCCGAGGCCCGCATTGAGGACCGAGATAACTTTGGCTTCTTGTCCCTTCCCCTGAGCTTTCTCGAGTCCAGACAACAAGCTGTTGATGAATGCCCAACGTGAATAATACCACACCGCCATGGACTTCTCTAATCCTTCCCCCGTTACCTGGCTCTCCAGCGAAATGGCCCCGGCAGTGAGTACGAGCAGATTTACACGTCCAGCGAAGTCAGGTCGCGCCAGAATTTCGGCAGACACACGTTTGACGTTGGCCACCATTGTCAGGTCGCATTCGACAAACTCGGTTCTCCCAGAGCCCTTCGGTAGTCCGTCGATAATCTTCCGAGCTCTCGAATGGCTGCGGCCAACAAGCACGATATATGCATCCCCATTTGAATGACGGCCGATAGCTTCTGCAATGCCCTGCCCGATTCCCGAGGTCCCTCCAACAACCACGCAAACAGGCGAGTAACCTAGATTCCAGGCTGCGTTAGAGCTTCGTACGTCTTCCAATGAGGGCATTTTCACGAACATCATGTTCCCAACAACATTTAAATAAGACCGTCGTCGCGATTCCCGGCCAGGTCGCGATATGTCAGCTTGTTCAGCCCGAAAGGCGTATCCGTGGCTCTCTTGGAGAATTACGATGAGCGTTGTCGTCAGCAAAGAAGAGATTGGGATTACTGAGATATTGTGCTTTCTCAATCATTTCCTGTTCCACTCTCAGGCTAGCTCTCCAACTTGGTCCATATGGCGAAATCCCAGCGGGCAGCTCGCCGAGTCCAAGAAGTTGAGGCTGGTTGTGTTTTTTTATGTGCGAAGCAAACCAAGAATTTGAGACCAGGTCATCCGTGGATGGAAAGAGAAGAGAGCAGAGAAATAGCCGACTCGGATCATGATTAGTCATCACACTGCGGCCAGTAGTCCTCAGGCCGAACGTTACTGCAGAAGCAAATTGAAGCCGTGCTTGCTTCGTTGTTTGGCAACATTGCAGCTTGTTCTCTCGACAGACGGCGCCGATGGTCCGTGCAACATTTGTGGGCGGCGTTACTATGCATTCAGTCGAGACGCTATATAAACCATATGCAGGCTTCAAGTTCCACACACTTCGCCTATGCACGAGTTATTGCTCATCTCAGACATCGTGGAAAACATATTCCAGCACTTTGGGTCTGGAAGCTTGGCTGTCCTTGCCCGCACATGTCGAGCTTTTCACGAAGAAGCAGTTGATGCACTGTGGACGCAGCAAACTACGCTCGAGAACATACTCAACCTCTTGCCAGATGACACCTTTCGGGCAAGCACCGCCGACTACTTCGACGCTCACTACGAAACTTTCGTGAGCAGCTACATCTATGATTGCTCTGAACTGAACTTCCGTAGGACCTATGCCGGCCTTTACAACCCGCTGACTGGACCAGGGCCCTCACATACACGCGTCGGATCAAGATACTGGTGCTCGAAGCTTCTGAGGCCCGGCACTCCGAAGGATACTCCACTTGGAGTGGATTTCCCCTTAAAAACCAGGTCCAAGCTATATCTGCGTCCTTTCCCTCCTCAGGAATCATCTTCCCTAACCTTCGACATTTGACTTGGGTTACAAACCCTTACAAGTCTGACGTGTCCCACCTACTTGTGTCGTTTCTATCACCAAATATTCTCCATCTGAACGTTGGGGGAACCTTGCGCGCTGCTGAGGCACTCAACTCCGGCGCTGTATTGCTTTCTAATGCAACTTATATCGCCTTCAGAAGCTGGGGAGCCCTTCCATCCAACACACTTGACAAATTGATACTGTCAACTTGGAATCTCCACTCACTCTCCCTGCCCCGGATAGACCGAATTATACTACAGCACCTCACACAACAACCGAGTCTCCGGTATTTGGAACTGTATGATCCAGAGGCTGGCGACTGTGGTCCATCCGATGTACCGCTAGTACTGCACGAGCCTCCCATCGTGTCTGGTCTCATATCACTGAAGCTTCAACAAACCTCGCTCAAGTTTGCATCCGAACTTATCAAACTCCTCGGTCCCTTTTCTTCCTCTCTTAAACAGTTTTCCATTTCTCGTCCGGATCTTTTCAAGGCCAACGAGCTCGAAGCCTTCCTCGCCACCGTCGGCTCCAGCCTGAAACCGTCGACTTTGCAAAAACTACAAATTTTTGACTCAAACCGACTATATTTGCTGCCCGGTGAATATGTTGAGATCCAGGCTGCCATGGATCAATACACCTCGGATGCCTCCTCCCTCGATTCACTGGCTTCTTTCTCGAAACTCCATACGCTCAGGATTGCGACTTATACTGGGTTCCGTATTGACGATGATGCATTAGAAAGACTGGCTCAGTGCTGGCCAAATCTTAAAAGCCTTCGTCTGTGTTCGATGTGTCGGAAGCAGACCCCTCCCTTAACCACGCTGGCCGGCTTTTTTGCCTTAAGCCAGCATTGCCCCCTCTTGGAGGATCTAACAATGGCCGTTGACGCGACAGACGTGGCCCCAGAACATCCACGCCCATTCGTCAAAAGCCCGCTGCATTTCCTCCACGTCAAGGAGTCCCCCATCGACGACGCAGAAGCGGTTGCTAAATATTTGTCGGGAACCTTTCCCGCACTCCATTCCGTATATGCGTATTACGGTGGCAGGGTGCTGAAGCGGAACCGGGAAGCGGTCTCCAAGTGGACAGAGGTTTACTACTTAATGGCCAAGGAGTAGTCGAGTGAATGCAATTCCATTTGTCTAAAACTACAAAAAACATGAGAAGCAACGAAAGCGATGAATGACGAATGCGTGGGTGGTGGTACAAGTGCGATAAACGAAAGCGAGGGGGTATGGAGATTAGATGGGTAACTGTCGTGGCGTCTCGACGATTTCGGCAATGCTCTCGTCTTTGACTTCGGTATGCAGCTCGTCGCTCTCGAACTTGCTTGTCGTTGTGGCCTCCCCCAGTTCGGCCATATCCTCAAATACCAGCGCATTTGAGGTCAGATCTGTTGGGGGAGTGGGCCTGCTGGTAGCGGTCGATATCGCGCCGAGTTTTAATCTGGCATTGAGCGTGCTGAGAAGGGCGTTGGAGTAGAGTTTGCTGAGCGCAAGGTCCCAAATGAAGTTGAGCGCGTAATGCGGAAAGACCATGAAGAATATGACGTCCAGTATGCCGAATATGGCGGTGATTAGATTCGTCTGGATCGTTGCTAATATGTGAGTCAGTAGCGGCTGGGGGTTATGGCAGAGGAAAACTAACTTCTGATGATCTTGTCAATGACGGTGTCGGTCGCAGCAAAGCCAGTCTTGCGATGAGAGAGGGTTAGGACGAGTGAGATGGTGATAAGGACATCGGAGACAGCACTGGCGAGAAACCAGAGTAAGGCCGGCGCATGTAATAACGGCTTCTTCGAGAACTCTTGTAAGATGGCTATTCGGGCAGTGGTCCAGAGCCCGCCTGCGAGCGAGGCCAGCGCAAAGAGAGATATAAGGAGAGGAATTGACGAGAGGTGGGTGATGGTGCGTATTCTCCAGCCAAAGAATATTTGGATGGGTGTTGAGATCAGAACAATCATGAGCGGCTCTGTTGGAAACACTGTCGAGAAATTAGCCCGCTTCCTGAGGCTCTTGAAGACCTACTGGTAGGAAAGTATTTCGTGCCATGACCGTACTCCAGAATGAGTGGTTGGTACATCATAGCCATGTCGAACGCAGTGTTGAGAGTCTCTAGAACCAAGAGATAGAGGATAAAGCAGCGCATCCACGCGCCGTCTTTGTGGTCCAGCTTGTAGTAGGTGAAAACCTGTGTGATGAAAACCTGAGGATAAAATGCTAATTAAGCGTTAGTCGGGCATGCGACAGCTTTACGTACCCCATAGAGTATCATATTCACGAAAACGCCCAGCAACATGGGTCCATAGGATAGCTGAACGTTAGGGAGGGCGGTGGCCATGTCTGGCCTACAGCGCCAGCGTGCAGAGTGGTGGTGGCTGGGTGTAAAGAAGCACCAAAAGCGATTTGACGACAACGACAGCCGGATGTTCGGCTCCAATTTCCGTCTCCTTCTCTGCTTCTTTTTGACCATCACCATCACGGACAACACTCGCAACCGCCCAACCGACAAGGCTTTGCCCTTGTCCGACGCCTTTCCTTGTTGCGAAATGAAGGAATCAACTCCAACGACGAGCCAGCAATCGCTGTGACAAAAATAGAACACCGTCCTATTTTGGCTCTATACAATGTCACGCGTGGTGCATGAGATTCTCGAAGACTTCCATCTCGGCGTGTTGTGGACCCTCACTTCCGGTTCCGTTGCTCCAATCGACAACTGGGAGTTTGGAGAAAGCGACGGCCCCGAAAGCAATCCAATCGCCCTTTTCGACCTCCCCCAAATCTGTTCAATCGCTCATCCATATCTCTCCCATGTTGGTGGCTTCGATGTCGGACGTTGAAACTTGACTGCCCCAACTCTTGATCATCCGTCAATGCTACCATACCTGGAAGGATTGTGTTGCGAACCCGAGTGTCAACACAGACAGTCGGCGGCCGAACTAAACTCACTGGGCGACGCAACTGGAGTGTTGTGGTTCGAATCCGCCTCCCTCATGTAGTACGCCATCATCGATCAACTTTATTCTTCAAGACTAATTCACATAGGTCTACTTTCTGTACGAAAAGCGTTTGTGTCTCCGTTGGCGCTCGACGAGGAGGAAGCTCGCTAGCAATACTGGTCATCGCAATGCTTCTCATTCGCCAAACAACTGCCTACCTATCAAGCGCTCCATGTGTTTGATCTGCGACTTGACCTCCAGTCGGGCGTGCTCCGACATTCGCCAAACACCAAAGTGCCGTTTGCATGGGTGGAAGACAGCAATGGGCAGTCGAGTTGTGTCGTCAACACGATAGAGCTGCATTCCACAGGCCCTCAGGCATTGAAAATGATGCAATGCAGCGAGAGCTTACCTGGAAATTACGATTGTGCGTCTTCCATCTGTACTCGATCCCGTCTGAATCAATGTAGGTTCCGCCGCTGGGATTTGTTAGTTTTTCTTTTGACGCTGATGACGTCACATACGGCTTCCCATCTGCTAGCTTCAATATCGTTGTGCTATCTATCCATTCGCCCAGCGCCCCTCGTCCCTTCTCTGACTTTTTGTCGTCATCATAAAACCTCACCCGTGCATTACTTGACGTGTCAATCTCAGCGACAGTCGTCAGCTTTGCTCCAGGACCCGGTTCGAGCTTGTTGATCTTGGTAACATGCGGATGCCAGAAGCGGGTGACAATCTCGAAGTACGGGTCATCCGAGCTTGTGGCCAGTGTTGTGTTGCGCACGCTGTTGGTGGCAAACTCGAGCACTGTTGTCGTTGTCGCAGCCGTGGACTTTTCTGCCATGATGGGGCAATAAAAGCTGAGGCTGGGACTGCAGGCTTTTTAGGTCGACGAAGCCGGCTCCGCTGTCGTTTATTCCCCTTATTCCGGCCATACCCGGTACACGCGATGGTGGGATATACCTCCCGGAAGATGACCGGCCCTGAAATACTTTCGCACGTTCCTCATTTTTGAAAGTTTTCCCGAGAATACGGGAGGCCTCATCCGCTATGTCCTTTTCTCGGGCGTCCTAGCAACTTTGATCGACAGCTAAACCCATATCTCCTAACAATTTATCCGTCGCTTCACCCAAACGGCAATGTTCCAAGTCTAAGACTTGAGGAGGTGTAGCCGCCCTTCGCCCTCCACCACAATGTACGACCAAATCATCGGGTCCGTATCTATCTCACCTCCCTCACTCACATGCCCACGCGAACTTCGATAGCTCTCTGTTGGTCAGCTCATGGGTCAATACTGCATTGTTCTTTCTCGAGCTCCACGAAGCACACAAGTGCTTCAGGCAATTCACTCGCGACCCGTTGTCTGTCAAAGTCACCGTCACCATGTGCTTGGTGGTGGATGCATTATCGTTGGCCGCCAATTACGGCGGCGTATATTTGGTGCGTCTGCCCACACTTTTGCGTCATAGAGGTGGTCTCAAAGCAGCGACCCAGTACTCTGTAACCCACTGGGGTACGTCTCCATTGCTTTCACCCCTCCGCTTTTAAACCCTACTGCCAGGCGATGTCACATATCTCCACAAAGAAGTAGTTCTCGCCTGACGATGCTTCCGGCGAACTAACTGAAGTCATAGTACCTCCGGGAGCGCGTGAGCTGTCGTGAGCTGTCGTGAGCTGCCAAGTCGGCAAGGTCGCTTGAGATCGCGGGGGAGTGACACCCGGTGTGACTCAAGCCTGTCGCTACATTTTCCTTCTTTCTTCGTCGTCCTTTGCTTGTCGTTGTTAGCCATGGTGAAAGAGCAGTGTAATTGGACTGCAGACCCCCGGGACACACAACGGGCCATTGAATTCCTCCATACTATGGCGCCAGAGTTCAGACAAGGTGGGAACCCCGACAAGAAGGCCTTCAGCAAATGTGCAGAGCATTTGGCCTCATTTGGGCCGCCAAAGCAGGGAATTCCGAAGACTGCAAGCTCCATATCTACCAAGTGGCGTGATGTGCGTGTCCTGCTTCCCCTGAACGAATTTTTGCTCACTTTTGTTGACAGTTGCAGTGGAAGCAGCTCTACCGTGTGCTGCTCGAGATTATCCAGGGCGTGTTTCCAGGCGCATCGGGATGGTCCTACTCCCATGATGGCGGGTTCGGTGTGACGGCAGAGAGCCAGGATGCTTGGGAGACCTTCATTGCTGCAAATCCCTGCTTGCGGCCATTCGCAAACTCAGGGGTGGCCTCATTTCCATCTCATGAGTGAAATGATTCCCTCGCAAGCTCGCGGATGCCATGTCTTCAATGCTGCCAACCCTCGTACCCCTTCCAATGCGACCAATACCAGTGCCCAGCCTGCTGTATCGACACATGCTCCTCTTGCTAGCCGTGTCAGTGCTTCGGGCCATGATACTGATGCTGCCCGGCTTCTTCTCAGCCTCTCGCAGGAGGGTACCCAGCTGCCGCCTCCGAACCATGACGACAACAGCGCTCTCTCTCCATCCTTCAACTGGAGTGATCCGAGTTTCGACTTCTCGCAACCCGATAGCTACGACTATGACTCGTCGCAGTCGCAGCCGCTTACCGACTGGTCACAGAGCAATTATGGCCAGTCGCAGGACAGCAGCGAGTCGCAGTTGGACGACTTGGATCAACACCAGCAGCAGGGAGCTTTTGCTCCACCGCCTCCCCCTGTTATCTCCCAACCACCCGCTCCAGTGGCTGTGGCCGCTGCTCCTGCAGCTACCCCAGCACGGTCTCGCAAGCGCGCCCTTGAAGATGACAGCAACACCCCTTGGAGCTCCTCTAAGCGTCGTGCTACCGGTGCTGATGCGATATTCGGTCTTGCGTCCTCAGTGAACAAGATCAACGATACAATGCGCTTCTGCTTTGCGCCACCCAAGTCACCAACAAAGACCAAGGAGGCAGCGCGAAAGTTTGTGAAGGAGGATCGGGAGAAAGGCCGTATCACGGCTGAGGAGCGGGCGCAGCTCAACCTTATCTTTGCGGAACATTGCTCAGCGGCAGAGGCATACGCTGAGGAAGCAGATGGTGAGGATCGTGTTGTCCTGGCAGGTCTTCTTATTCAAAAGCATGGTCATCTTTAATCTTTTTAATCACGCTCGTTACTTGTCATTCGTTTACATACTGTACTTGGCTGTTTAATACCTAATCCACTGGTTCAATCGTTAGATCTACATCCATAAGCTCTTGTTGCATCTCAAGTGCCCGTTCTCGTAGAATCTCCTGATAGTCCTCCCACATCGCGGCTGCTATACCATCCCGAGTATTTTCTGCTCGTCGTTTTTCCGCTGCCCCAATACGCTCTGATGTTGAGAGAAGACCGAAGTCTATGATGGGTGCACGGCGAACGGTACCTGGGAACATATCTTCAGCCTGCTCATCGATAATCCACCGGTCGAGATCTGTTGGATCGTGGTCCATGATGAAGTTGTGCACTGCACACAATGCTGGGGGGATCCTAGCCTGTTTCTCCATCTTGAAGTGCGGTGCACGTTGCAAAATACGCCAGCGGTTTTTGATGACGCCAAAAAATTCGTTCGACCACGTTTCGAGCTGAGGCATGACGGAGATTATAGAGTTCTTTGGCAGTCATAGGTCTGTTTTAAATAAGTGTCTGGTCTAAAAAATGATAAAAACTCACCGTCTGTTTCCACGTGCCCATTCTGCAAGATGATATCGTACAAGACGGTAAGGAACCAGGAGTGCATCACAGATCCCAAAGCCAGCATCTGCAAGATACCTCTTTCCTGCTGGAATGAAGAAGTCTTGTAAGCGTGCTCGGCTATACATTGTTGCGTCTGCAGCACAACCATCCCAACCCCCAGTGAAGTAGAGAAATCGCATGTCAAAGGAGACTGCTGCAAGGCAATTCTGGGAGACACCGCCTTTGCGATTGCGTGCACTATGTATATCCTCTGCTGATAGCGTACATGCAATGTGGGTACCATCAATTGCACCAAGGACATCCTTGAGGTAGGGCCACCATTTTGGATTTGTCCGGATTGCGACTGGAGGAGGAGCATTGGGATCGGGGAGTCGCACAAAAGTGGTATAAAAATCTTGGCCTGAAAGAATATCCAGTATTTTGTGAAAGTGCCTGGAAAATGCTTGAGTGGTGTTTGATTAATATTGTATATGCGCACTCAGATATAGTAGTATGTGAATGCTGAAAGCGCTCCGCAACGTGGTCGATAGCAAGCCCAGTAACACATGTATAGAGGAAAATTGCAAGTGACTCGTCAAGCATAATTCGTGAATTCCCAGACTCCATGAACCCCATCGAGCGGATTTGGAGCACAAGGGCTAGGAATACATGCCGCCGCATCCCAAGAGCAATGTAGATACGGTCTGGATGCTCACTATTGAGCAGTTCATTGAGCCAAGCCCGGCCAGTAAGAGCTGAGTTATGAAGCTCTGTTTTGATGTATTGTGGCTGGACATAGACCATCACCCCAAGAAGAATGTACTGCAAGAGGGCCATGATCATGGCAACTGCCCATCGGACACGCAGCGGGTGAGATGGCGGTGGGGGAGGCATTATAGTGGGTTGTTATCATAATCACGATCTACTTGATTGATATTACACAAGCGACCTTGCCGACTTGGCAGCTCACGACAGCTCACGACAGCTCACGCGCTCCCGGAGTGGCTCTAAAGTACTGAGGACTAACTCACGACAAAGCTTAATGTCTTATACTATCTTAGCTAGCGCCCGGCTTTGTTTCTACTTGCTAGTAGTGTTGCGGCTCGCCGGCGCCGCTGGCCATAGAAAAGCACGGCCTCACGGTCAAGCACCGGGCTTGGCTTGATGTGTTGCGATTCTGTTGCGAATCCTCACAATTCAGTCCAGAAACTATTCAAAGCCTGCTGCATTCAAACAAGCAAGTAGCCCTGACAACAGCGTGGCTCACCGACGCTTGAAACAGAGCTCAATAGATTGAACGATCACCAACAAGCATTTGCTGGCGCAGTTACTATAAGAAGGAACGAAATGGACCTCCGAAGAACCTGAACATCCCGACTCGATGATTTTCACCAAATGTTTGCCATTTGTTCTGGCTTTATCTGCCTTCTCGGATGCCGCATTTACCGGGAAGAAGTTGAGGATTATGCCTCTGGGTGGTGCGTCGAGACTTACATCTTCTTCTGCCTATGGTAAACTCCTTTGCAGCATCGATAACCTTCGGCGTGGGCTCGTCTGACGGAAACGGTTATCGTGCTGCCCTTCACAATCTCCTCGCAGCGGACGGCAACTCTGTAAACATGGTCGGCTCCCAAAAAGGCGGGACCTTTTTCGACCCCTTCAACGAGGGCTACCCGGGCTTGGTCATCACACAGGTCAATGCTAAATCCAACGTGCAGATGCCCATCCAGCGGCCCAACATCGTCACCCTGCTGGTTGGCACCAACGACGCCCTTCAGAATATCGATCCCGCAAACGCGCCGAACCGCTTGAAGACCCTCATTCAAAACGTGCTTGACGCGCCGCCATTGACGCTGGTTGTCGTCTCAACGCTTCCCCCCAACGCGAATTCCGCGGCTAATGCGCGCGTGAACGCGTATAATGCCGCCCTTCCGGGTGTGGTGCAAAATTTTGTCAAGGCAGGGCGGTCTGTTGTCCTTGTGGATTGCCATTCTGTAGTTGCGGCTGGAGATCTCGTGGACGGGACCCATCCAAATGATGCCGCATATAAGAGAATGGCCAAGGTCTTTTACCAGGGCATTCAGGATGCGTTTGCCCGGGGTTGGATTTTTGATCTTAACGGCCCCGACCCAGTGAATGCTCGGGCGCGATTGTAGTATACTTGCCGTAGTTTTTCTTTCACCTCTCTATACAGTTCAAGGAAGCAAATCGTACTTGTCGTTTCCCTTCGTCGGGCGGCGCTCAGAGCAGCGGCCTGAATCACAAGCACAAAGTCACATGCAACACACGTGAGATGGAAACCACTTCTCTCACTCGACAATGCCCATGAAGCACATCCTCGTAAAAGGGGTGGCCCTACTCTCTTCTATCGCGTATGCTCCAGACTGTTTATCACCGAGTTTCCTGCTCCAATTTAGTAGATTCTCGTTGTGCCCCGGGCCCCCACAGCATATACCCATCACGATTGCGCGGGTCCGGAGGTTCTGAAAAGAGTTTCGAACCACAGCAGCAGCTGACCCGCTCAGCAACCATCTTTGATTCGACTCCCCCTCCTCGTTATAAACTACAAGTATCAAGACCTTATGGCCACGCCGACATAAAGCTACCATGGTGTCCAGCCCCGCGAAGTGGCTACCATTAGCGCTATGCCTGTACCAATGGGTCTCCGCGGCTGACGCTGCATTCAGCGGGAAAAAGCTGAGAATAATGCCTTTGGGTGGTGCGTCTGCCTTCCGAATATTTTGGCTTATAGGATCTAACATTCAACAGCCTCGATAACCTTTGGCGTGGGCTCGTCGGAATGGATATCGCGCAGCACTTTACAACCTCCTTGAGTCAGACGGAAACTCGGTCAACATGGTTGGCTCTCAGCAAGGCGGCACATTTTACGATCCATTCAACGAGGGTTACCCGGGAGCGATAATCAGTCAAGTGGACGACAAAGCCAAGGTCCAGATGCCCATCCAGCGACCCAGTGTCGTTACCATTCTCGTTGGAACGAACGATATGACGGGAAATGTTGATGTTGCGAATGCACCAAATCGATTGAAGACCCTCATCCAAAATGTCCTCGACGCCCCTCCGCTAACGCTTGTTATCGTTTCGACGTTGCCGCCGAATGCAAATTCGGATGCCAACATCCGTATTAATGCATACAACGCGGCCCTTTCGGGAGTGGTGCAAAGTTTTGTGGACGCTGGTCGCTCAGTTGTGCTCGTTGATTGTCATGCAGTCGTTGCACTGAGCGATCTTGTCGATGGCACCCACCCGAATGACGCTGCGTTTGCCAGGATGGCAAAGGTCTTTTATCAGGGCTTCCAAGACGCCTCTGCACGAGGCTGGATTTTCGATGTCGATGGAGCTGAACCGATCGACGGGTTTACTGGGAAACCATTGAGAATCATGCCACTGGGTGGTATGTCTTGAATGCTGAGAGGAAATAGACTAACGGCAAGGTAGCTTCGATCACATATGGCACTGGGTCTTCGGATGGGAATGGATATCGCGCAACCCTGTACAATTTACTCGCGAGGGACGGCAACAACGTCAATCTTGTCGGTTCACAGAAGGGAGGGAATTTCTCGGATCCGTGGAATGAAGGTTATCCTGGCTTGAATATTGCCCAAGTTGATGCAAAGGCTCAAGTTCAAATGTCCATCCGACGACCAGGTGTAGTAACTCTCCTCGTGGGGACTGTTGATGCACAGAACAACATCGATCCCGACAACGCCCCAGCGCGTCTCAAAACGCTTATTCAGAACGTGCTTGACGCGCCACCCCTGACGCTCGTGGTCGTTTCGACACTCTTGCCCAACTCCAATTCCGCTGCAAACACCCGGATCAACGCATACAACGCTGCGCTGCCGAGTGTAGTAAAGAGCTTCACCGATGCTGGGCGTTCGGTTGTTCTCGTTGACTGCCACTCTGTCGTTGCAGTTAGCGATCTTGTGGACGGAACTAACCCAAATGACGCGGCTTATGCGAGAATGGCCAAGGTATTTTATGGTGGGTTACAGCAAGCAGCCCCGAAGGGTTGGATATTCGCACTTGATGGTGCTGACCCTGTAAATTTATTTACCTAGAGTCATCCATTCCCCTCTCTTACTCGCAACATTGCCCTTGTCGTCGGTAAAATAACGGTCTCAGTTATCAGTATTCATATCAACCGTCCACTTGTTCGCCGAAACTTGCAAGGCTTTCCATGCAATTTCCATGAGCCTGCGTCGCTCTTTGGTGTGATGTGAGCACTACCACATCGGAAAATTATCATCGCGGATTTAGAAACAGTCAGCGGCTTCCTATGTAGAGACTCCCTTTATTTAACATTCTGAAGGTCCGTGGTACAAGAGTCTACTCAGGCTGCTCCTTGACAAAAGCCTTCCAATCATCAGACTGCCCCATATGTGTTGCGGAATACGGCTGCCTGCATCAGTCAGTCAATCTAGCATTGAATAGGAGGAATGGCGAACCTTTATCAGGGTAGTTGCAAACAGAACAACGAGTTGAGCTTCTCCCATGCTTGCTCTCTCTCGTACTTCCACTGGTCTCGGATCCGCTTCACACATGACGCACACATACCAGCACCTCCACCTTCATTATCAGACTCCGCCTCCTTGTCCCATCCAACCTTTCCGAGCATATCCAACCCACATAGAACGTCGTAACGGTAATCAATGAACAAGCCAGAGTCGTAAATGAGTTTTTTGTGTATTTGCTGGGTTAGAATGGTGCAGCGAGGCTCAGGTTGTGCGGTTCCATGCGCGGGGCAGAAAAATGCGAAGAATTCGAACGCAGTGGCGGTGTACCAGATTGTATCGAGGTGTTCACGTGCGCGGGTGAGAGCAATCAGGTCGGTGGATTGCAACATGGAGGGCATCTGTTCGGGTTTTTGGCCGAAGCTTGGAGTACGAAGGAGTTCGTAGAGGGCACGCTTGATGATAGCTGCTCCAGAAGGGCCGAGGTCGACCTCACGGCCAAGGGAGACAACTTGGGTTGCATGTGGAATGACGGTTGGAGTAAGAGCTTCGAGAGAGGGCAGCCAGGAGCTTTGAATGAAACGTTGAGCCCAATCGCGGAATCGGTGAAACTTGAGGATAGTAGAGGCACGAAGAATAGAGGACACAACATCGAAAGTTGGCGGCTCGTGACAGTAGGAGCTGGGAGATTTATAATCAAATGTGCACGGGTTCTGAGTTTAGCATACATTGCATCTTCCATTGCGGTAAGGAGAGCATCGAGATCTACAGCAGTGGCACCTGGCGCAGGAAGATGGTAGCAGTTTTGGACGTTGCTGACATCGGCAAGAATAAGAGTTCCTTGTTCATATGGACGTTTAGGTTCCGGTGAAAGTTTGCCTTGATCTATGGCAATGAAGGCATCGCTGAAGAATTCAGAGTGTCGGCCAAGTGCACTCTTACGAAGTCTCTCAGAGCAGTCAGACATACAAAAAAACGCCATGTCTGGCACTCACCGCATCCAACAGTCACCCAAACGCACAAAAATGTCTCCATCGAGATCCCAGTGCTTTGCATGACGACGAGAAGAGCGCGCGCGCTTCGCCACAGGGCTTTCGCTTGGATCGATTGGGGTCTGGTCTCGAGATCGTTTTCCAAAGTCAGAAGTCAGGGCGGCATTGGATTGGAATGGGTCGTGTTCAATCTTTGTGACATTTTGTGGGCCTTGAGCTTGAGGTGTGTCTTGGGACATGACGCTTCTTGCAAAGGGTATTTTGAGTGCAGTCACACGTGACACTCCGAGCACTGACATCATCAACTTGAACGACTCAGAAAGCAACTATAGGAATTACTTATGGCTCTTCGTCCGTTATTTGTCGTTGCAGGTATGGACTGGAACAGTTCAAAGAAACTCATCCATCGTTCATTCAGGCATTGGAAATGCATCGGGCACTGGTTCCGCTGCTGCGTGGGTCCATCTTTCCTCGTGTGTTAAACAAGAAACCTGAATTTCCTTTAGTCGCGCGTTTGCCAAAGCGGGTTATAGTGTCGCGCTTATAGCCCGAAACCAAAGCTCTCTTGATGCCTGCGCGCAAGAGATTAACAGTCGTGGCGGTGAGGTACGTACCATTGAGATGCTCTTTTCTCCTCTTTCTGCTCAAATGTACTCAACATTTTTTAGGCGGCGCCATTCTGCATGCCTTCCTACTCGTCGGAAAACTTCTCCGACACTTTTAGATTGATAGAATCTCATTTTCCCGCTTCCAAATATGCCTTTCGTGCCGCCTTATTCAATATCGGTTATGCAGTCTGGAAACCCTTCCTGGAAACGACGCCACAGGAAGTTGAGGACTGTGAGTTCGTAGTGACTGTAAAGAACGCCAAAACTCACCAAGCCCTGTAGCTTTGAACACAAATGTTGCGGCAGCTTTTGCTTTTTCTCGCGAAACCATCCTCAAGTTCAAAAATAACCCACTCGACGAGCAACAGCCTACTCGCGGTACCCTTATCTTCACCGGGGCGACTGCGAGTACTCGGGGTAGTACAACGACTTCAGCTTTCTCCGCTAGCAAATCTGGTCTTCGTTCATTAAGCCAATCGCTGGCAAAAGAGTTTGGCAAAGACGACATTCATGTACGTCTGGAATAATTTCTCATGACTGGCTGAATGACTTCAGGTGGCTCATGTGCGTCTTCTTCTCCCTCTGAAGAACTCGAGTTGATTGCACTGGCGTATGCGCAGACCATCATTGACGGACGCAAGTCAACACCCAACTACACGCTCGTTCTCCCTCTCAACGCCTTATTTAGTTATCCAAACTGGCACTGCCCCTCAGAACGAGACTCTCAAGCTGGATCCAGCCAGTATCGCTGAGGTACTTCTGATTAATTCTGTGAACGCCAGGTTGAGAGATGACCCATAGGCACACCTCTATCTTACGCGGCAAGCGAAATCCGCGTGGACATGGGAACTTGACCGTAAGTTTCTCAGCTCACAGGACTCGTCGTCGTTTAATCAAACACAGTTCGCCCTGCAAGCGAAAAGTGGTAGTTAGGCTACATAGTTTGGTTTCGCGAGTACCACAAGTGCATTCAATGATTCCGCATGTTTTGACCTTCGCGACCTCGTGACCTAGGACTCTTTTGATCACGAACTACCATGTCATCCTCATCCGATCTCATATGGCCACAGGTGTGCTTGCTATGTTCGATGCAGCTCCAATCATTCTCATTACATCACTTAGACCGCCATGGACGCTGTACAGGAGCTTCACGCCAAGATTCCGCTAGAATTGCGCTTATCGCAAGACTTCCTTGACAAATATCCTCGAGGGTCGGATGTGCGCGGCGCCGTTGCTGCTTCTGGTCTGCTTACGGCGGCTGAGATGGAGATAACCAACCCAGAATACGACTCTGTTGCGGTTCATTCACATCTGCATTCCTTTCCAACGCGCTCAGTTGTTCACAGATTTTGGACCGAATCAAAAACAGGGAACTTACTGCCGTCCAAGTGACTCACGCATTTTGCAAACGCGTAGCGATTGCACAACAGCTACTGCACTGTCTTACAGATTTCTTCATGGAGGCAGCGCTGGTCCGGGCACAGGAGCTAGACGATTATTACCACAAGACTGGGGAAGTGGTCGGTCCATTACATGGTTCGCTGCGTCAACTTTTCATGCCATATACAGCGAGTCACCTTTCTCTAGGTCTTCCTATCGATATGAAGGTTTCTTTTTGTTAACTTAGTCAACTCAGGCTCACGCACTCAGGACCACATGATGGTAAAAGGAACCAAATCTTCAGGCGGTTTTGTCTGCGATTATTATTTGCCTCCGGCCACGCAGCACGGCCTTATTGCGCAGATTCTATACGATGCCGGTGCAGGTACTTCATTCCCGACTGTTCTCTCAAGTTGCACTCATTGTTTAGTCTTCTATGTGAAGACGAACCTCCCACAGTCTATTATGCATCTTGAAACATATTCTTTCTGGGGCGAGACGTTGAACCCATACAATACTGCCCTAACGCCGGGCGGGAGTTCAGGCGGGAGTAGCGCCGTTGTAGCATTTGGAGGCTCGGCAATGGGCTTGGGCAGCGATATTGGTGGGAGTCTGCGCTCACCTGCTAATGCCTGCGGACTCTGGACTCTAAGTAAACTGGCCCTTTCCAGACCACTAAAAAACCTCACTGAGCTCTGTAGAGCCAACGACTCTGCGAATCCCAAAAGGCACGGGAAACGCGCCGATGCCTGGTGCCGACTCAATTGTTGGGACATATGGTCCCTTATGTCGAAGGTTCGTCGTATTTGCCATTATATGAAAGCTGATCCACCACCCTCTCAGTCTTCGTGACATGCACTTGTTTTTCTCGGTCATTCTCGAGACCAAGCCGTGGTTGAAGTCGCCAGATCTTATTCCGATCCCTTGGGTGATCCCAACTGCCCCTTCTTGGTCCGGAACGAATGGCCGTTTGCGCGTCGGCGTAATGTGGCATGACGAAGTCGTCTTGCCTCAACCGCCGATCCAAAGAGCGCTTAAGATGCTTGTCGGCGCGTTGGAAAAACAGGATGGCATTGAGGTCGTTGATTATAAACCATTCAAGCATCTTGAAGCAAGCGAATTGGCGGTAAGCATTGAACATCGTTTTTGTTTGTCTCAAGCACCCGTAGCATGAGCTTTATTTCGTTGATGGTGGAGCACGAATCCGGTCTAAAGCAGCAGAGACAGGCGAACCTCTACTTCCTCTTACTGACTGGATAATCACACGTTCACTGGTGAAGGACCACACCGTACACGAGCTCTGGGAAGTATGTTGAGCCCACACTCCTGTTTTCTGAGCTTATTTGCAATAGCTTTTTGTCAACCGCGACAACTTGCGGGCAGAATATGTCCAGCACTTTAGCGCGCAAAACGTCGACGTTGTTCTTTGCCCGGCCGGCGCCGGACCCGCGCCGGAGCTCGGAACTTGCAAATATTGGGCGTATGTTTCTCATTGCAGAAGCAGGACATTTTGACCCAAATGACTAAGCTACACCAATGTCTGGAACTTCGTCGACTACCCAGCGGCAGTCTTTCCCACCGGATTGTTTTGTGACCCAACGTTGGACAAGAAGGATGGTCCTCGAGAATATATGAGCGACGCAGATGAGTATAATGCTGAATGCTGTATGTATTTACTCGGCTCCGAAATTTGGCTGACGCCCAGGTTTTTCCGTAGACACACCAGAGACATTCAAAGGCGCCCCGTTGTGTCTTCAGCTGGTGGGAATGCGGTATAAAGAAGAGCTGTTAATGTGTGCGTTGGAGGAGATTTCAAAAGCCTTGCCATTGGATGATATCGCACAGCGTATTTAGATCACAAATAAAACGTGACCGTGTTTTTTTTTTCTTGTTACTTCGATGTGACCTTTTTTCATCCACCAACGTACCGGCTATCCTTGTCCTACTTGTGGATGCATCCCACTTTCGCTGGCGCTGGTCATTTTCCCAGGTGCCGCAGCTTATAGCCAGATAGGAATGCAGATTTTTGAGAAGCCTATGCCGTTCGGCGGTGTCAAAGTATAAATTTGGTTCGTCCTCGTGTCGTCATCGCCATTTTCACTTTTTTAAGCAGTTTTGCCCATAGAACGACGAAATCCAGGTACTCCTGCAAGAGAACTTAAGGGGCAAAGACAACCTTGCACTCCAACGATGGACCGATCCAAAAACGACGGAGAGAATGGATATTCTCGTGCATGTTAATCACACAGCTCACCACACCAAAGTCTCATGCTCAAAATAGCTGCGGAGGCTTTCCCTCTTTCCCTTGCTCCCCATGTTTTCGCCTCTGTTATTCGGCGCGTCCTTGTTCGCCACCGTCCATGCCGCCTCGTCCTCTTTCCCTGCAGGCGTTATCGCTACTGGGACACAAGGGGTCACGAACCCGCCGGTCCCGACCATGGGGACACCTGTGAACCAATCGAGCATGGCACGACTCCTCACCATCAACTCTATTGACGACTTTTGCATTTTTGCGCCGCCAACTGTATCCGATATTGGCAACTCAGAGGTCTGTGGAACATAAGAACGGCGCACATTCATGGCGTTGATATCATTCGCAGACGGAAGAAGTGGCCTGGTGTACTAAAGCACGGAATAACGCTCGTATCATCCCCGATGGTACTCTGACTGGGGTGTGTCATCTGGTTGTCTTTCATCGTTCTCTGCTTACGGGCCACAGGTCTCTTTCCTGCGAAATTCGTTCTACGTTCAAGGTTTGCTGGCTAGTCTTTTATGTTGGCAATGCTCTGACCGGCACAAAAAGTCTTGGGATTTGGAGACTTCACCAAACTCAACATACCCGCAGGCGACCAAGGTGGAGAACTCGATCCGCATGGCGCGACTGGAGCTGGCAATCCTGTTGGTGGAAACGTTACGACCAACATTGTGGACAATGTCGATGAACCAATAGCAGAGTGGATGCTCTTCATAAGCGACACCATGTTCTGCATCCGAGCATGCGTCAACGCCAATGCAACCTACGACGCGGCTCATATGTGTTGGCACGAATTGGATGAAATGGGTTGCGAGTTCGTCATGCCCGGAAACTACAACTTCAACGGAACTTTGTGAGTCGTTCGTCCTTCCTATATGTAGTCTTGACTAAAACCCTCCAAAGCGAGACCTGTGATGCCGACATTGCCTACCCGCCAGGCTGGTACCCCTCCGTCGACGCCAGCGGCTCAACTTCTTTCTCCACATTCGCTCAATTCTTCACTGGCGTCTTCACTGGCGCAAACGGCCAGCCAACTGGCTTTACTGTGGGCGACACTGTCACCCCGACTGCACCAGCAAGCATCCCCAGCTCGTCAAATTGTGTCACTACCCCAACGATTTCCAATGGGATTCAGTTGAATGGCGCTGGGTCACCAACAAGTACCAGTTCGGTTGCAGGTGGGGGTGGTCCGGCTTCTGGAGCGGGAGGGCAAAGCGGGTCAACAGGAACAAGTTCAGGTCCTCAACCTACCGACTCTGGTAACGCTGCCTCGCGCGCAGCACGAGTCGGAGGAACGGAAGGAGAATTTACCATCATCGCTCTCGTCAGTTTGCTTTCTGGTTTGGCGGCAGTGATGATGCTCCATTAGTTCGCGACTTTGGTATATTCTTACAGTGGGCTTGGACTTCATGAACTTAGCTAGCCCACGCTGTTATGAACTTTTCTACTAACCATGTACATTGTTATTGCTACAACACACTCAATCAACGCCAGCCGGATCCAATGGCTGCCTCTCTTCATCATCTGAAGATGAATCATCAGGAGCCGTGTTGCCGCCCCAGAATCGTCCTAGTACATTTCTAAGCACCCGAAGCGGTAATGGCTGCAAGGGATTCAGTGGACGGGGTGGACTGCCTGATTGAACTTACAGCAACTTCATCCTCATCACTCTCTTCTTCGTCTTGCTCGTCGATTACTTCCTCAGGCACTTCTTCCTGCTCTTCAGGGTCTTCCCAGGCACCTCCCAATCCCGGCATCTCACCAGGCATGCCCGCCCCACCTGGCGGCAATTCAACGGGAACTTCACCTGCATCTCCGACAGCAGCGGCCATCATGATAGCCTCCAACGCTTCTGGGTCCATCTGTGCTGCCGCCTGCGCGAAGTGAACGATTCCTCCAGGAAACTGCTCTTGCACTGCTGGCATCGCCTCCCAAAACGCTTGCAATTGCTGTCGAAACGCTGCATTGGGGATCATCTGAGCGAGAATTCTCTCTTGGTGGGCTCGTCTCCGCGGCGGCGCAAACGTCCGAAGGTCCTCGACCCCTTCAAAAAATGCATTGTCGTACGACGTTATGGCCGTCGGGGGCGGAAGCGGATCGCATTGCAGCGATTTGACATTGAGAACATCGGCCGGAATGTAGGCGAATAGTCGCTTGTGGGTAGATTCCAAAACCATCACGTGGCGATACACTGAATACCGAAGATTTTGGTTGTGGTATAACGAGAGGAAGTCTTGGCGGCGAGGTAATACGGGCAACGAGGCGGGGAGTGAAGCGAATTCGGTGGTGACGGTGTCTCTGAACCACACCGATTCATCTTTCCACAAAGGGGCAGATCGTTGGGCATAAAGATGCGAGAGAAGGTGAAGAGTTCCCTCGGGATTCCGGAGGGATTTAGCGTCTGTCTCGATCTTGAAATCGGAATGGCCACGAATGGAGTTGGGCAACGATATGTCGAGTTTGTCTGCTAAGACGGGGACGATGGTGGGAAAAGAGCGGATAGCTTCAACGAGTGCCTTGGTGCCTGCATCGGGATTCTTTCCTTTACGCAAAGCTAAAGCTCGAGCGTAGGACCACCCAGGAAGTAAACTTGGATCAACACGGGCATCTTTTGTCTGGCTGGAAGCTCGACAGGTTGCGTAGAAATCGAACATTTCGACAAGCCACTCGGTCATACTAGTCTTGACGGCTAAGAAGTCGAGATGGAGGAGTGCACCATGCGGGTCGTTTTCAGGGTCCAATGATAGTCTGGCAATAAGTGAGTTGAATCAAGGACACCAACAACCACTTACAGAAGCCGCGCAAACTCAAACGCTGTCCGCACACAACCTCGACGTTGAAGGTCTCTGCCATGGATGAATAATAAAGCACGAGACAAAACAAAGGAACCAACGTTGTTTGACGATGGAGAGCTAGGAAGAATGGTCGATTCTCGATATGGTCGAAGTCGAGGCGATTAAGACCAGTGGCAAAATTGAAGGAGCCAAAGAAAGCCCGCTCATATGAGAACAACGCCCGGTCAACATATTCTACCGCATTGGAGTATTCTGAAAGCGACATTAAATCTATTGAAGTAATGGTGGAGACTCCTACTCACCTTCTCGGTGGCGATATACCTCCGCTAGTTGGAGAAGCGTATCTCCATGCCACGGAAACTGTTGTAAGAGGTTGTAGAATCCGTTGGGATCGCCCGAGTATACGACAGTCATGAAAGCCAAGGTCACACTCTTGTATTTCTTGCTATACTCGACTGTCCACCATTTCTCATCGGAAGCAGGGTCCCATGCATGTTTCGCACTCTTCGAAGAGAGCTCTTCATTCGTCAATAGACGTAACGATAATCCTTCTCGTGGTGCCGTTCGAAACCAGACCGCGGGTGGTCGTGTCAATTGAGATCGTTGGGTTGTGGTGCGCCGAGAAGGGCCCGCGACATTGGATTTGTTTGCCTGAACAACCTTGGACCCGAAGAATTTGCGCATCTCGGCCTCGCTGTCCAGATTGGCGACGGATACTGAGAGGAGTGACGTGAGAGATGAGCTTGAAGGCCTAGTAGTCTCTCGGTTGTAATTTATCGCATTTTGCAACTCGGGGTACCTGGACTAAGTAATTAACAGGATATTAGCTCCAAAGATGCGGACATACTTGATAGAAAGCTCTGCAAGGGCTTGATCAAACTCCTCCTTCTCTGCTTTCCGTTCTCGAGCCTTGGCTTTTTTCGCAGCTTTCTTTTCGTTCTTCGGTGCAACAGGAGTCGCACGCGGAGGAGTAGGTGCAGCAGGCGTCTCGGACCGCGAGGTTTCAGCAACAGAACCAGCTGCCTTCTTTTTCTTTTTCTGGAGTCATAATGTTAAATGGGTTTTGGTGGTGTATCGTATCAGAATATGGACCTTACGTGACTTCTGGCTGGACACAGGAGTCTCATCCTCATCGGTTGGCTCATCTCCTGGCGTGAAAAGCTAGTACAAATGTCAGAGTGCCCACATTCAAACTTGGACTACAAACCGCTGCAAAACCGGTATTTGCTGGTTTGTTCACTGGCTTCTCATCTTCACTAGAAGATTCTGGTGGCTTCGAGAGACCGTTGAGAGCTTGAAGCTCTTCCTGTTCCCGCTGCTGTCGTTTGTTCAATCGAGGCGGCATAGCGTCATGGAAGTTCGCAGCAAGTCATGGATGTCACGTTCACCACGGATCCGTTTCTCGTTTCTCTCTTGTTTTGACAATGTTATACCACGAACCGCCTGGAAATGCTGCTTCTCCTGCTCACCCTACTAGTATCCCGATTCCAATATCGATCGATGACGTCGATGAGAAATTCGGCATCGGAAAATGTTGACGAGAGCATGATTAGCTGAAGCACTCCGAGTCCGTTCATACTATTACTTGGTCTGAAGCTGGCATAAGTCTACTACGCAACGTAGAATGTAATCTGTGAATTGGCCTTCGACGTCGCTCCGCACAATCCGCGAAAGTTGATGTGGTGAAGGAATGCGTGACGTTTTGGCCGATTAGCGCCTTGTCTGCAACATCCATGAGGCCTCTCAGCCTTCACTCCTCTGCTCTGAATGACGCAGAATATACTCTGTTCACCGAAAACCTCAACTCCCTTCTCGACACCACCACTGAAGACCTCGAATCACAATCTCTAACGATCCGTGAAGTTAGAGCATGGATGCGAGGGCGCTACCCGAATGTTTCAACAGCAACGATCGACAACGTATGTATAGTTCTCGAATGTTAACGGGGTTATGACCTTCCCATTGCGTAGATCTTGGCGCTATTCCCTTCAAAGGAGACCATCCACGGAGGAGAGTTCTTCGCTGCTCAACGCCTCGTGTTGCATGTTGAAGCAGGGAAGGACGTTGACCGAGCTCTTGCTTTTGTGCAAGGTGAGCTGAATACCTCCGTTAGATATTCTCTGACAACCGTAGTTCATCCAACCTCAACCAATTCTTCTCCTCCACCTGTTCCAGTGCCAATAGTCGAATCTTCCCCCCACCAAAGCTCCCCAACGTCATAACCCATTCACCCCAACCCTTTCTCGCTCCAAAACAACTCCAATCCCTGCCCCAGTCCTTCCTCCAAGACGACAACCACCACCTGTTGCTCCAGTTCCACCGCCAAGACATCCACCGTTGCCACCCCGTTCTTCCAGTCCACCAAAGCCTACTGGTCATGTTACTTCGACATTGATGAAACAAAGCTTACAAGCTTCGAAAGCGGGACAATGGCTGAAGCAAGGGCAGACTCGATTGGAGCAGGAAAGGGTATTGCAAGTGCTTCGCAGCAGCTCAGCTACTCCCCGACCCGCGACACAGCAACCACCAGATCCAAATGACTTTTCGTCTTCTTCAGAAAGTAGCCGTGGCCGTGGCCGGCAACCACCCCCCAGCACCAGCTCACTTGAACAGGTTGCTCGGGCATCACACAGTCTGCAAAGGTCATTCGATGATATTTATGGAGACGACGACTCCCCACAACTCCCACCCCCCACACATCCTGACCGCAATCGTCGCTCTGCACCACCTTCAGTTTCTTCACGCGCATCTGCATCGTCGTCGTCGATTAATTCTTCTCCAGAACGAGATCAGCGCCAAAAGCCTCGTCCGCCTCCCAAACCACGCTCGCTGACATCTGCCATGTCGCCCTTCGAATCCTCTCCATCACAAACTCGTTTAACGAGGTCTCATTCCCTCAAGCCCTCACCACCACCCCTTGTACCTCGCGTAGGTCGGGTGCGACCGGAGAGTGTGCATGCCCTTCTCAATGGCATTGGATCTCTTCGCTTAGGAGAATCGCCATTTGGTGATCCAGCCCGAAGGGGGGACCGAGAATCACTTGTTTCTGCACGCGATTCAGCCGTGGCAAATGACGATTCAAGTTCTTCTGACGACGAAGTGGATGGCTGGGCTGGGATGAATGCTACCTCAGACCGCGTTGGGACCGTCCGTTCTCGCGTCAGTGCATTAGACGCAGCGACTATTCGCCATCGAGGCGACATTGAGCGAGATTCACTCAAGTGGCCGGTAGATGTTGAAAGAGAGGGCTGGCGGCAGTTGTAGCAGGTATACGTATCAGATCTTGTAGAGCATTATCTAATATCCTCGTATAGTTGTGTACTCCTAGACAATTTGTAACTATCGCACGCGTTTGCTTGAGCCATTGTTGTCACGGGACTAAACACTTGTTTATCGCCAACTTCCAACATCCCTCATCCTATGCACCGACTCCTGTTGATCACCGACATCCTCGACAACGTGTTCAGCTATTTTGACGCTGCTCACGACCGAACTTCTCTCTTAGCGTTGACGGAAACGTGCAAAACCTTCAGAGAATCCGCGTTAGATGCACTGTGGCAGGAGCAAGACACCTTGAATAACATCTTGCGGTGTCTACCGAAGGACGCTTGGCGCTTCAAGAGGGCGAAACGCCATCGCCGGTTTGCAGAGATCGTACGTGTCTAATCATCAAGGAATGAGTTGTGGTTCATCACTTTTTTAGGAAATTACTCGACCTCTCGTGCCACAAGACTGGGAAATCGTCCAAAAATTTCATACTCGGGTCAAATATCTCGTGCTGACAACGTCGGCAGCCCACACAACGAGCGTGTTCAAGCACATACGCTCTCACTTTCCCGGTCATTATTATCAGGGTGGCAACGTACCTGTGGAAGTCCAGTGGCTCTTTCCCAATCTTAGAGGACTCGACTGGCATCATGTCACTTTCAGCGAGCGCGAATATGCACTCGATTTCCTCTTCCTCTCCATATTCATGAGCCCACGACTGGTACAGCTGACAACGGTCCTCCAAGCCCAGGTCGCAAAGGATCTGCCACTGCTGTTTCGCATTGATAGGCTGGAAAATCTCAACATCCAAGTTGAGGTCGAGTGTCCGTTAGACCCAGACAACGATGTTGCAGTTTCGGACGTAGAGTTAATCTCTGTGTCCTCCGGCATTGCGCAAGGACTTGGAAGGGCGCGAACCCTATTCTTGCCCACCATCGACAACACAGCTCTTCAACGTTTGGCAACATTACCCCACTTGAAGACTCTTGGGCTCTCCGAGAAGCCAGGAGTACTATCATCCACCCCACAAGTTGCACCAGACCCCGACTCATTCCCTTCTCTCACACACCTTCATTTGGAGAATGCCACGATCGACTCTGCTCTCGCTCTGTTTCGCCTCTTCCGCCCTAGCCTCAGCTTAGAGGTTCTTGAGGTGGCTATGGGCGTATTTCCTTTGGGCGGTTCCGTCGGTCGATTCTTGGTGCTTCTTCCGGAAAAGATAGACCCAATCACACTCAACCAGCTCCAGATTCTGGTGTGTCTTCCGGGGGACGAGGTTTCACTAGATGCGTCCGAAGTTTCGCAATATGTGGTTGACGGACCGGCCCTCTTCCCTCTCGCCCGGTTCCCGAACCTCACAACACTCCAAATTCAGGTCACTGCTAGTTTCAGCCTCGACGACCAGATAATATGGGAGCTGGCGCCAGCATGGCCGAAACTCGAGTCGATTTCGCTCTCGGGACACTACAGCAATGATCTTGATGGTGTACCAGAGCCTACCACAACGCTCGATGGTTTGCGAGCCCTGGCAACATTCTGTCCGCGTTTGGCTTACATCCAACTTCCCCTTAACGTGTTGCATGTCCCCAGCTTCAACGAGCATGTTTCCCAGAGCCAGCTTAGGCGTCTCGACGTGTCGGGCTCGCCAATCGGGGATGATACGGCGGGGGCTGCGAAATGCATTTTCGGGTTGTTCCCCCAACTCGAGGAGATTGACTGCCAATATAGCATGGACTGGGACGATCCAACGGTGGGAATCGGATACAGTTTGCTGACAGACCGTTTTATGGATAGGTGGAACGAGGTGAGGGCGAAGATGGGGCTGGCTTTGGATAATATACGCGACGCACGTATAGTGGCTTGAATATATTTCAATTGAGTCCGTGAGTGTCATGAGCGCACCCCAGCTCTTGCGTTTACGAGCGGCCTCATTGGCTTGCCATCTTCATTGTTCAAAGGTTTTCAACACAAGCAGCAGAGTAGCGAAGTAGGGCCTGGATCATGTGTTTGCACTTTGCTGACAATATGTAAGTACAAAGCTAGCGCCGACTTTATCAGCTTACCAGGCAGCAAAAAACATCTCCCCAACTTCAATTCGGATGTCGCTAAAAAGCCCTTGTCGTTGGCGACCACACGCAGCAGCATACCACCATTGTGTTGTACCTTCTTCTGTCTCATTCGTGGCATTCGTTTGGCCCACCGTCATTACCACAAGGACTTTGCCCTGGTATAGGCAGAAGTTATTCATTGGCGGCGATAGCGTGTGCGAGTCTGTCTGCAAAACATTTCGGGAAGTTCAGTCGAGGTTGCAACTTGAAAAGGCATGTCAGGATCTATGACTAATCAAATGTCTTCTCTTGCCTTGATCAGCTCTGTTCCTGCTTTCATCTCTCGCGAAGAGCACGCTGCTATTGTCTCAAAAACACCAGAATCCTTTGCCGATATCTCCCCCGTACTCTGTCACAAGGAGGAGAATGTTCGAGTGACGCTTGATCCGCCATTGGAAGGATTTTCGACAGAGGATGCAGGAACACTCTACGTTTTAGAAAGGTCCTCCCCTTTCTTTTCCAAGCGGTTAGCTGAACGAGCCTAGCGTCCTTGTTTTCGTGTCGACCGCTGGTTCAGGATTCCAGATTGAATATCCCGCCATCACTCTCCATGCAGTCTCACGAAGTGATGCAGGCCCTTCAATATACTGCCAACTCGAGGGGCAGGGCGGAGACCCATCTGACGATGAGGTCGAAAACATGCGCGAACTGAGTATTCTGCCGCAAACCGCCGACTCTCGTGAGTTTATGAACCGATCTTTGCGCTTTCTAAACTCAATCACAGTTGAGCCGATATTCGACGCGCTTTCGCGCTGTGCCGCCCTGCACCCTGACCCCCACATGTCAGATGACGAGGACGACGCGATTGTGGACAGCGATCACGGCTTCCAGGTCTTCACTGGCGATGAGGAACAAGAACTGAGCCAAGTTGGGAGGGTACGCAGCGATTTCCTCAATGACAATCGATATACTCCATATTAAAATCTAGGCGGCCCTTGAGTATCTTGAGTCAATTATCGTATACCCCGAGACCAATGGCGCAGTCGAGGACCACTAAAATAGACATTTTCTTTTTGTAAAACTTCCAATCAGCGCCGGCCTAGCCGGACCGAGTGCCGCTTCTTGACCCTTGATTTACTCTTCCCCCTCACCAGCGCGTGCGCACGAATACGCTCCTCCTTTGGGTGCCTGGTACGTGAGCCACACCAACTCGGGGGTGAAAGCTGTCTAACAGCAAGATTAGTGACTCTTGTCTGATGCGCCCGGTGTTGTTGGCGTTGTGCAGCTTATATCCCGTCCTCCACCATGCCGACCTTTAAGGTTGTTGTCATCGGCGCTTCTGGGGTGGGGAAAACTAGTCTTCGCGGCCAGGTGCGTCACCTTTCAAACTACTAAAGGCCCTCCTCATTCCCACTCAGTTCATATCTGGTCGTTTCTCAACCTCCTACCGAGCAACCATCGGCGCGGATTTCGTCACCAAGACTCTTCCACCTATTCTACCCTCGACAGAACCTGTTGTTCTCCAAATATGGGATACCGCTGGCCAAGAACGCTTTTCGTCCCTATCATCGGCCTTCTTTCGTGGGGCAGACGCCGCCATTCTTATGTACGATGTCAACTCTCCTGACACGTTGTTTGCCCTGCAGAAATGGTGGGACGAGTTCAAAGACAAGGCGCCAGTGGCCGAAGGCGACATTGAAGATGGTCGATTTTGTGCCGTGGTTGTGGGCAACAAAGTAGACTTGCTCGAGGGGAAAGACGACCAAGAGGTGGTTTCTCCTACCCAGGGAGCGCGGTTTGTGAGAGCGCTGATACCTCGCATGGATACCCCTCCGCCCACACCGGGACTTGTCGGGTCCGTCACTATTGACGACGACGACAACGAACATCAGGCCAACACTGACACTGAAGACCCAATGACTGCCTCCCAGCTCACTGCCCGCCCACCTTCTCCTAAACCCATATCCATTCTTCGTCACCCACATCTAGCAACCAACCATCGGAAAACACACTCCTCCTCCCAAATTTCGTTCAGCGGAGCTCTCCGCCAACCCCGCGCCCATTCTAGCACTCGTTCTCGTGCTTCATCCACTATAACTTCGACTTTGACCATATTCCACACCCCTTCCTCGTCCGTCTTTAGCGATGGGGTCTCGGAATACTACCACTCAGCACAATCGTCCTATTCGGAACCAGATTTAACACTTAATGGCCGTTCGCATTCACCTAGCGCGCGTAGCGCCTCAGAACTGACTATCACTCCTGCTCGATTCTCTACCGCGTCCGAGTCGTCGCAATCACCCACCTCCCTCATTTCACAGCCAAACGGCAAGCGGTCCCCGCCAGCCCCGGCCCCAATCGATACCTCACCCTTTGCATCGTCCCACAAAACAGCAGAGGAACGGGCGCGAGACCTGGGCCCAAGCAGCGCCGCACTCAGTCCCCTCCCATACCAAACCCATCTCCCGTTCGGCGCATTTGAAGGCAAGAAAGGCGCTAATGGGCGGCAAAGCATCCGCACGAAAGGCAGAGAAACCGCCGCAGTGTCCAGCGCCAGCGCGGGCAGCTCTGTTGAGAGCTTATCAGACAACTACCTGCTTGAACCAGACGTCGACGCGAATTCCGGTGCTGCTGCTGGCCATTTCCGTGTTTCGGCGAGGACCGGCCATGGAGTCGACGATGTCTTTGGGTGGGTTGCCCGGCGGCTGGTGGAAGAGTGGGACCGGGAGCGACGAGAGGGCGAAATGCGGATGGAGTTTGGAGAGGCAGGAGACACGATTCGCGCAAGGGGCCAAGGCAGACGTCGAAAAGCTTTGAATGGGAATGGACATGTGGGAGACAGTTTCAGTGGAGCAGAAGAGAGGTTGAGGATGCGCATGGGTAATAATACGAGCAGCGATAGTTGGGGGAGGTGTTGTCAAGGTTAATCTCAAGGGAATCGGTCGGTTTTTATGTACTTGTATTTACTTATACCTCATATATTCGAGTCATCTACCTTCTGAAAACAGTGGTTCCACATAAGACCCGGAAAGAAAATGCAAGTACGGTAATCTAAGATGTCCATGGAGAAACGACAGTAGTGCGACAACAAGTAACACAGCCAGATAAGTAGGTGCTTAATGAAGCAAGGCAATGGCCGCAATACCAGAAATGAGGGAAAGTAGCGCGATCGCAGCAGACTCTCCATTGTTTCCGGAACCGACACTGACACCACGACGAGCAGGACTAGAGCCACTGACAGCAGGCGCCGAGGACGATGCAGTATTTGACCCAGCAGCCGCACCCCCTCCGTTGTTGGGCGTAGGCGTGCTTTTAGCCGTGTTGCTTGTTGTCAATTTGGATGATCCCCCAACAGCCTGCGACGAGGACCCGCCAGCGCCACCAGCGGCAGCGGCATTCCCAGTTGGGGCGGTTCCACCAGTCGTGGTGGGAGTAGTTGTAAAACCCGGTGGAACAGCGGTCCCCGAAGCGCCAGCAGTCACAAGCGAGGCAGCAAGCCCGTTCTTGACAGTAGCCTGGGTGACACAATTGGACGATTGGGGGACGAATGCGACTGTTGTGGGTGTGGTGAGGTCGCCGACAGTGTAGCCTGTCGGCTGGCCGTCTCCACCAGTGTAGATGCCCGTGAAGTACTGAGCGAAGGTGGAGAACGTGGTCTTGCCGCTGGCATCTACACCGGGGTACCAGCCTGGAGGGTAGGCAATATCAGCGTCGCAAGTTTCGCTGTAAAGTTTTTGAGGAAAAGTTTGATTGGGAGCGAAATACGCACAAGGTTCCTGGTTCTCTGTAGGTGCCGGGCATAACAAACTCGCATCCCATGACATCGAGTTCATGCCAGCACATATGGGCAGCGTCGAATGTCGCGTTGGCCCAAGTGCAAGCGCGAATACAGAACTGTGGTTTGCGTTAACCCAATGAACGAGCACACAAAGATGCAGACGGACTTGGTTGGACGAGATATACTGGAGGAAGTATTATACAAGTATTCCCGGATCGAATATAAAATAGCGCTCACTTGCATCCATTCCGTTATCTGCAGGTCAGACCCGTCGGCGACCGTGGTTGTTACATTTCCACCGACAGGGTTGCCCGCTCCGGTAGCCCCATGAGGGTCAAGTTCACCCCCAGCATCACCGGCTCTGATGTTCAACTTGGTAAAGTCACCGGTGCCCATAAGCTGGACATAGAACGGCGTTCTCAGGAAAGAAACCTTGTCGATTGCGTTCAGCATCGAGAGACAACAAAAACACAAGCATAACATACCCCAGTAATGACCCCATCGGGAATGACACGCGCGTTGTTTCTCGGTTGAGTGCACCAAGCAACCTCCTCGCCCTCCGTGTCAGCGATAAGTGAATTGGGTTGGGGCGGTGCAAACAGACAGAAGTCGTCGATGGAGTTGAGGCTGACGAGACGCGACATGGAGTTTTGATTTATTATTGAGGGCATTGTAGCAGTTGGTGGGTTGGTAGCGCCTTGTGTCCCGGTGGCGACAACTCCAGCGGGGTAGTTGGGCTTCCCAGCATGGACAGAGACGGCGACAGAAGAGGCTAGGAAAAGAGCGGAGAAGAGCATTATGATTATATTGGCGCGGAAGAGGGGAGGAAGGAAAGGGAGATTTGGCGCGTATCAGGAGACGTGCTTTTTAACGTCGCGGAGATCGCCCGCCGTGAATCACACAGGTTAAAAATAGTTCGACCACTTGACGCTTGACCTGGACACTGTGGACAGGCAGGGTAAAGTAAAGGGTTTGACTTTGTGCAATGGGGCTAACCAGGGTATCGCCAGCTCATCGAGTAAAAGTCATAGTTATGCTCGAAAGTCTTGGGTAGTAGGTATCGACCAGCATCCGGATTCGACAACCGTGGACGAGTTCACAGATACCCGCGTTCCGTTGTCCGACCATAATTCTATAGGATTTCTATAAGTACGTTGTCGAGGCTCATGAGATGGAAGGAAGATGTTCATCCACTCATATCTGTTGCCAGCCACTACTTCCTCTCGGCCCATGTCGTATGTCTGTGGAGACGGAGCAAAAAAAAGAAGAAAAAAAGAGGAAAAAAGAGGGGAGATTGTAGCATGATTCATGTACTTACCTACTGCCATTCCATCAAGTTTGAAGCCGCTATTGCGACGACAGCGCGTGTTCGAACGCGATCTTGGTCGGTTACGGGTGTCCAAATCGGGACGGGCGGCGATGGCCATGACGCAACCGCAACGCATGTCCTTTCGGAGGAAACTCCTCATAAGGACATGCGTTGCAGCCAATCGTTTTTCAAGTTGGCTTCTGGGCCTGATGGCCCATCGAATCCGGTCGGGTCGGGTCGGAGATACGACCGAGCCAAGTGCGAACGTCACCGGCTGACAGATTCCATCAATCAGCCCAACCACGCGGCGCCGGCGCGCCCCTCCGGGCTGTCCCCGCCCCTGCAGTTTGGTGCCAGCGCAGACCCGGCGCCGCCGGCGCGTTCGGCGCTTTTGATGTGGCCCTTCACCGTCCACTAGCTGCAGTGATACCGAGTGCATTCCTGAGACAAGTCAGGCACAAAAGGCAAATCCCAAGTCTGCTTGCTTATCTCAGCGGTTCAAACTGGACTTGTGCATATCTTTTATAAGTTTTGATATATCTAGGACATCTGGTTCTCCAAATGACAGCAAGAGAAATAGCAACATAAGCTTAGCATGCTTATTAGTCCATATAAACCATTACTCTGCATGCAAAAAAATGGAGCTAATAGTAAAATATATCTACACATAACTTAAAATGACTTATAATTTTAGAGATAAAATGCCAATTCAAAGCAAAAGAAAATATGCTCACACAAACTTTGATAGCTTAAATTTTATTCTGTAAACCATATACAATCATATCATAATATTATTACTGACTGCTTGGAGCACCATGTAGTGCCAGATACCTTTCAATCATTTCTTCAGATATTCTGACATCTCCTTTGGGTGGTTGCTTATGTCCTGGACAGCGGCAATAGCGCCGTCCACCCTTTCCAGGACATTGAAACCTTACTGCACAATATGAGTAGACACAGACAGCACATCTAAGTGGGGCTCTTCCTGTTGCTGTTGTTGGTACCTGTGCTCCAGGTATGATTGTCTGGTAGAATGTCCGTTTAGATTTTGCACCTGCCATATTTGGTTGGATAGTAGCAGGTGGTAACACAGTCTCCATTGTTGGAGCTGATATTTCCAAAGTAGGGCCAGACAAAGGATGGACCTGTAAATTGGGAAGAGGACCTGAACTCATATCCTCATCAGGAGTAAAAGCAAGAATCTGTTGATCTGAAGATTTTGCCAAAGAAGACATTCTGTCAAAAGCAGTTTCATCATAAATGGCTGTATAGATTGCATTAGTAGATATTTTAATAGAGAAATGATCACATACTTCCTATACTCAGATCAATTTCACCATCTACTCCTGGAAGTGGTATTGCAGGAGGGCCAATTACAACATTGAAATCTGAGTTGATCAATTCTAAGAACTTTTTTCTAGCATTGAAGTTTGACCCTTCTGCAAGGGTTGAACGCTCTACAGCCCATAGCAGAGTTTTTTTTATGATGTGCTTCAAGATGTTGGGGCAACTTGTAATATAGGCGTTTGTTGGAGTCTTTCTGAGCTGAAGACTGTCCATCAACCAGAGCATTCCATGTTCTTGCCAGTTTATCAAAGTCAATATCCTTATACATTTCATGTACTGCATGGGCAGCTCCACCCTTCCGAAAGGCAGGCAGGCCAATGTATTCTTTGAATGTGGTATATTCCTTATGAGTATGCACTGGGAGTACTGGATAAAGCACCAATTGACGGAGTTGCAAGTATGAATATCTGTTGGTAGATTTTGTGGAAAGTCGAGTCAACGCATGTGTGGGAGTGTCCCGATAATGAGGCAAGCCTGTTATAGAAGGACGGGGCAGTGTAGTGATGCCTAGTGTCTGTGCAAGTGATGTAGAGATAGGAATAATGCCTAGAGTTTCTGAGGTAGCAATTCGTGTGGAAAGGACACGAGGTATTGGAAATGAGGGCTTGCAACCAACTTCAACTGCAAGTTCAACTATCTCATCACGGACCCAAATATCAAAGTGACTGGAGAATTTTTTACCAGTGCGATTTTGATAGCCAATCTATATAATATTTATCATGAGATTTGTAAATCATAAATAAAAATATGCTTACACGCAAATTACGGCGGCCAATCCAATTTATGAGCAAACTTTCAGCAAGCTCAGGAGATGCACGAAGTGATCCAAACACTCTGCGGATTGCCATATGGAACCCGCCTTCAACTGAATTTGTGCCACGAATTGTACGATAGATCAGAAGTCCATCACGATCACGTCCAATCACAAAATAGAGAATTCGTCCATGCGGATCAGAAAGATATCCAAGACGAACTGTCTCAATAAGTCGCTTGATCATATCTAGAGCATCCTTTGAAAACAATGGTTCTCCTGTAAATGAACAATAGGCTTCAAATAGCAGTTTGAGACGCTGTAATAGGATCTCTCGTGAAGGGATATAGTGACGGATACGTCTATTTAGTGCTCGACCCATTGCACGCGTTTTGCATAATCCCAGTTAATGCCTTTGGCATCAAGCACTGCTTTGACAGCTGTTACATCAGATTTGTCTCTGATAAAAATAGCTTCTCTAAAGTCATGGCAGAAGGGTCTAAAAACAGGATGCTTTTTTAGATAGCAGGCGAATCAGACGATCCATATAGTGGAAAGCATCATCAAGGATTCGGGAGGGTAAAGTGTTACCTGCATTTTTAAGAAAATCTACAGTGCGATGAAGCTCAGCTAGAAGAGTAGATGCTGATGTATTCTGCATTTATTATTAATGATAAGAATTAATATGCATATTATGAGGGAAAAAATACCTCATTAAAATGCCATTGAAAGAAACCTTGCATATTAGGATTTGATTGAGATCCATCATTTGATATAGCACTAGTGGTCTACACAACCTAAAATCAGTAAGGTATGCAGAAAGACAAACTACATACAGATTCTGAATCATCATCATCATCATCATCATCATCATCATCAAATCCACCTAGATCAACATCTTCCTGAGCTGGCTCCCAATATTCAAAAATAAGGCCTGGATTAGGAGTGAATATATCATCTGTATCATATGTAGGCTCTGTTGCTGGAGTTCCCATATTATAATTAGCAGATGAAGTTCTGAATATATTGCTTTCACTTCTAGAGCGGAGTTGAGATGTAGTAACAACAATATCATCTTGGCCTTGTGCTTTTAACCATTCTAAGGACTGCTTATGCAATGCCTGAAGTGAGCCTGGGGCAAGAATCTGAAATATTTGAGAAATTTAATATATATTTCAATATCTAAGATAAACCTTTGTGACTTTGATTTGTGACCGAGTTAGTGTGATGTTGATTTTCTTGGTTCCTCCTATATTATCTATTGGAGTCACTAAATAGCCTTGAGAATTCCTGACAATATAGCCTTCAGCAACAGGCTTGCACCCCTGCACTAGAGTCACAGGCTGTCCATGAAGTTGAACCTGCTGGGCAGACAGAGGAAGGCCAATAGAAGACATAGGATATAGTGTAGCACAAATTTGCCACTGACAATCAATCTCACGATAATGAGCATCAGCTACATCAGCCAGAGCAGCCTGTAAGTCTATATCCTGGTTTGAAATTGACTTTTTTAGTACAGCTCCACATAAAGTATGAAGGGAGACTGTGGGATCTGTAACCACACCCTTAAGTTTAGCATAGGCCCCAATATTGAGATAAGAGGGGTTATGGCCTTTCAATGCCTGAGCTAGCTCTTGTAGTTCAAAGACTTCTGAAAGAATTTCCAGTGACTCCTGAATAGAAAACCCAAATTTGATAATAGCAGGATTGGTTAAAATTGCCCTAAGAGAAGGCAAGAGATGGCTTGGCTTGTTAAGAAGTGACATCTAGTTTAATTCAGAAATATCTCATTGAAAAAAGAAAATGCTTATACATCAAAGAGGAAAATTCCAAACTTGGTACGCATTTGAATAAAGTGAACCTTGTGTTTCTTCTCTTGAGTATATGAGAATTTGACTCTGAGTGCAAGTAGATGAAGATTTTCACTGGGTGCTGATAGATTGAACTTGCTTAGAATGTCATTTGCAAGACTTTCAATCCCCATAGAGTCTGCTGAAAATTGAACTGGAATATCTAAAGCTCTAGCAAAAGCTGGTAGATCAGTCCATTCTGTCACAGGTTCAACATGTGATCTCAGAGTTTCATTCAAGTCCTCATGGAATGCTCTTTCAGCTAGAATATAAAAGTCAGTGAATTTATTATCTGTTTATATCCCCAAACACCCACCCAGAGGAGCATCAACATAGATGAATTGAGTTGAGGGAAGATTCACTGCCTTCAAACCATCAAGTATTCCTGTCCACATCTCTTTGACAAAGGATAGAGATTTTGTCATTGTCAGAGCATGACCTCTAGTTTGCTCAAATTCATTGATCACAGTATAGGCTGATGTGAAGATATGTTCATGCTTCACACCTCCCATATATTTTGTAACCTAAAGTTTGAAGAAGTTAATATTGTTTTTAGAAGGAAATAATAATAAATACTGACATCAAATGTATGATCAGCCTTGGCATATGTCAAAGGAAGAGTTGCAGTATCACGTTCAATATATATCCGATGAGCTGCCATAAAGTCTGTAAAACATCCTTTGAGGAATGAAACTCCTGGAGGTGATCCAGCCCAGCCAAGTTTGTCTGCAAATTCTGAGAATGCTTTGACCTGTTTCTGATGATAGAATTTTGCGGCATCTAAATACATCAGTTCACATTCTGCATGATATCGTGTTTGAATTTCAGAAACTAAATCTGAAAATGGAGCTGGGCCAAATCGTGTTGCAAACGTGTTGCGCATTTGCCACATCATTGTCTTGGAGATAGCACCCCTTGCTGTGATATAGGCTATAAATAGTAAATATTATACAGATCAGAAATTGATGATGATGATCTACCTGGAAAGGCTAGCTGTGTAAAACGTGGAAGTTGTGACAAAATGATGGGATCAGTTCCCTGCATAGTGCGACCACATCCTTTATTACCCTCACGCCGGTTATCACAAATGAATCGATTTGTGAATAAAAAGAAATCATTTGGCATTGATCGGACTCGGCGTGCAATAGGATTGTCATTAAAACCTGAATATATTTTATTAAATTAATAGATATATATTTAATTTCAAAATAATACCATTTCGGGTCAATGATTCACCACAGTTATGACATTTGAACTTTTCTGGTGCACCTGGAAGTAGATATGGTAGCCACACACAGATATCCCTAGCATATAGACTGTCACACAGTGACCCTGTATCTGCTGTTTGGACAAAATTTTCCTGCAGTGAAAAGACTGGATTGGGTGCACGATCATACAGATCTCCATGGGCATAACATTTAGGTTTCCCATGTGTCTGGATCTCCTGTACTACTCGTTCCTTAAAAGCCTTCAAGTATCTAGCTGTTGAGGATTCTAGTCTAGAGGCTGAAGCCTCTTCTTCTTCTCCTGTCAAATTTTCCTGTGGTTCAAAACCTGGCAAATCATCTACTAGACTCTCCTCTACTTGCACATCCCCTCTAGCAATATCACCATACTCATCATTTTCAGAGATAAAAGTGAATTCCTGTTGTAATGTGGCAAAATCTTGAGGAGAAACTGAAGAAGTTATAAGTTGAAATCATTAGTATAAATTACAATAATGCACCTGTAATATCTGCATGTTCAGCAGGTACCACTTGAGCTTCAGGATTGGAAGCTGAGTAGAATGTGTGAAAGTTTGTAGCTGGTACTGGCTGGTTGGTCCTGCGGGGCAGAAAGAATGCTGCAATTTGATCTGTATTGGAGTTTGTTGGCTTTGATGGGCGCCCAGAGCGAGCTCTTGCTCCTCCATGAGTGCCCCGGGTTGCAGAATTTCGATCTGGGGCCATGGTGGGCAGAGGCAAAGTCAATTCACAGCAGAAACGCCGTTTGCAGCATGCAAAGGCAACGCGACAGCCTCGGAGATCGATAAATGATCATCCGGGATCGGTTAGATTGGCGGTAACTACTCGGATTGACGGTGACACGCGGGTAACTACGGACATCATCGGAATTTCGCGCATCAAACGCGGGTGCGGACGCATGTCCGGTTATGGACATGCGTCTCCACTGACATGCGACATGAGCTTCCTCTCAGCAGTCCCTTGCGCTGTTGAATGATCCGTCATTCCGCCGAAGCTACGGCTCGTCGGGCATTCCAACTCATAACTCCAGCCTCGAATACTGCATTGCTGACCCCATCTGGGGTCAGGTGGAACCTAACTCCTGTTCTAGATCAGCTAATGTGTGCTCAAAAGAGTTGTTGAGCTCACCAAGCCGTTCTACCTCCCGATTTCGCGATTCGTCGTCAAAGAATAGCTACAACGAAGACTTGAGCTGGATATAGATCGAGGGATGAAATATCATACCATCTCTTCGTAAGGGACCCCCGTTTTCTCGTGCAACGCTCGGAAATGAGGGATCTTGGAGCCCGGGTAGATTTCCAAGTTATCAAACAGCTCAATTGCAGGCTGTTCTTGGACAGCGGGGTCGTCCGCGTGGGAAGGGGGTATACGGATGAGCGAGAGTGCCTGCTTGGCCCTATGTACAGTTCGAAAAGGAGGCTCCATTGGACAAAGAATGACTCAACAAGTGAGCAGCATGAGTCCGCGAGCAGGCGGCTACCAGCACTCCCTCTCTCCTCAGGCCCCGAAGGATTCCCCCAACGTCGTCGTAGAAAACGACTTCCGTTCCGTGTCTATCGATGACCTTGGTGCCGTTTTTCGCGTGGCGGAGCGGGCCAGTTACGTGCGTGTCAATCCACATATCCCACAGGGTATAGCTGAGGGCAGCGTGTCAGGGAAAGAGCATACTTATGCGCGTGAGCAAGTACTCCAAATCAAAGGCGATGAGTTTGGGGAGTCGGGGAGATGAAGACATCGCGTAAAGAGGGCCGAGCACGTGATGCGCACACATGCTGAAAGCAACATTAAGTACTCTGCCATACAACATATAGCTATGCGGTATATCTACAAATGTCCACGAATGAGTGTGTGTGTACCATCGTAAAACCCAAATTCGTCAAAGAAAAAAATCAGTGGAGGAGTCCGATTCCGGCGATGCCAGCGATGAGGCTGACCAGGACGATTGCGAAGAATTCACTCCCTCCAAGGCGGGCCATGGGGAAGGCAGCGGAGGATCCGGATGAGGCCGGAGCTAAGGCTTTTTAGTTTAAAGAGAAATCAACAAGGTAAACCAACACGCACGAGCACGAGAACCGGAGTTAGTTTGTGAGCCAGCAACAGAGCCAGACTTTGTTGGATTCGCGGGTGCGGAGCCAGACACAGGCTTTGAGCTACCGTTGGGGGGTGGGGGGGCGCTTGAAGCACCAGGTTGCTGAGTTACAGCGACCGCATTTCCAATCGTGGCAGTCGTCACACAGTTGGAGGACTTGGGGATGAAAGCGACAGTGGTGGGCGTGACAAGGTCACCGACGGTATACCCTGTGGCTTTGCCGTCCCCACCGGTGTAGACACCAGTGAAATACTGAGCAAATGTGGAGAAGGTGGTCTTGCCGCTCGCATCGACTCCAGGGTACCAGCCGGGCGGGTAGGCAACATCAGCATCGCAAGTCTCGCTATCAAATGGTTATTATTAGCGATAACACTAAGGAGAGTGACCCACAATGTGCCTGGCCCCTTGTACGTTCCAGGCATGACGAACTCGCAGCCCATCACATCGAGTTGATGCCAGCACATATGGGCCGCGTCGTATGTTGCATTAGCATTGGTGCAAGCGCGAACGCAGAACTGTGAATCGGAAATGAACTGAAAGCAAGATGAGAGGCAAAACTTTGGTCGATGTTTCTTGTGACGAACCATCATCCACTCTTCGATATTTAGGTCGGTTTTGCCATCGACGATATTGGTCGTAACGTTTCCACCAGCGGGATTGCCAGCGCCAGTAGCGCCATGAGGGTCAAGTTCTCCGCCAGCGTCACCCTTCCTGATGTTGAGCTTGGTAAAATCACCCGTGCCCATAACTTGAACGTAAAAAGGGGTTTTAAGGAAGGAAACGCCGGTAATAACGCCGTCAGGGATGAGTCGAGCATTGTTACGAGGTTTCGTGCACCAAGCAACCTCACGGTCCTCGAGAGAAAGTCATTAATAGGTATTGCAAGAGGGTGGGAAGACCGACCTCGGTCTCGCCAATCTCTGAATTGGGCTCCGGTGGGGCAAACAAGCAGAAGTCGTCCACAGCGTTCAGCGAGATGAGTCTTGCCATAGACTGCTGGTTAACAGGTGTGCCCATTGTCGGCTTTGGTGGATTGGTTACTCCCATCGTGCCAGTGGCGATAACGCCTTTGGGGAAATCGAGAGCATTGACGGAGGCTAGTGAGGCCGCGATGAGGAGTAGAGCGGGAAACATGGTGGGAGAAAAAAAGAAAAGGGAAAGATAGACAGACAGGTGGCAGGGTATTTATTATATGCACACATGCCATGAGTGGTTCTCCAGATGGGATGGACCAATTTGTTTGGCGACTTGTTGGCGACCGTACGGAGCCTCAGCCACTGCAGATCTTCAGTTTTGGGTTTCCCTTGAAGGCGATAGTAGGCCGTTCCGGATAGATGCTCACTGCTCAGTAAAGATAGCGGAGCGCTCATGCACCAATCTCCGGAGCCGTATTCAATAGCGGAGGCAACATGATCTGCGACTTCGGCTTGGCGCTAGATATGACACGCGAAGTGTGACTACCAAGGAATATTTGCATTGTCGCGACACGGAAAAGACATGGAGGGAGAGGACAGCGAAAGGGAGACATGAGGGTCAAGGTCAGAAGCTTAAGTAGTCCGCATCAATCGCCAGTAAATTCGAGTCGTCGACATCAGAATGGTTCTGAAAGGTTCGCGTCGATTTTCGACTTCCAAGCCACTTGTCCAAGATGCCCAGACTTTGGAAAGTAAAATTAGATGCTATTTTTACTCAAGCTTGGCCTCGCTAATGCACTTTATCGAACCAAACGTCCACAACATCCCTGACATTCGTACTTGGCGATGTCGTTTGCCTTATAGTTGGCAACATTGCTACGCCAACCAACCCCATGCCTATGGTTTTACCGTCTGCTCCTTGCTCAAATTTTGCCACCCACGCATATGTCGGGTCCTCGAATGCTGTTGAGTTCGCTCCATACCCGTGCGGATAGAGATTTGTCATCTGGAAGACATAGGACCCGTCACCAAGCGGCGAGATGCGAACGTGGGTTCCCCAGAATCGCGACCAGGTGGCCATCAGTTGGGTAACTGCTTCAGATTCAGGGCGGCCAACCACCGCCGCGTCGATAATGCGAAAACTTTCAATGGTGCTCTGGCAGTAGGACACATTCAGGGCGGGACTGCAAAGCGTGATGTTGCCGTAGCCAGCATTATAGTAAGTTCCTGAAAGACTTTCTGTTGATGCAGCGTCTTTCTGTGGGGGGAGGGACTGCTATATCGACACCCGGAGAAACGCGATGATCGATAGGCGAAATGCGCAGTAAGCGATCTGCAACAGTGCGCGAAATGCTATCAGCAGTCGCTTGAGTGACAACGGCGGTGTTGCAGAGTAAAATCGTCGCAAAGCCGTCGTAAGGGTAAATATCCACTCTTGAAGAAACCCCTGGTGCACCTCCATCGTGCCAAAGCCACTATATAATGACTCTTAATCACGACTACTTGAAGGTTGAAGACGGGAACCCTACCTCGTGCCCGCGGTAGCTCGCCCTGACCCAGCCAAACCCATACCCGGCGATAGAAGAGATGTTGCTGCCCACGGAGACAGGGACAGATATCGCAGACGTCGCGAGATCATAGGTTGATCGCGGAATAATGGTTTGGTTGCTGTTTGCGTCGATTCCTCCGTTCAGCATCGTTTTAGCCCAAACAACCTAGACCGATATTCAGTTGGCGTGCTATCAGTGAAAAACTTAGCATACCATGTCCTCCACGCTGGATATGACTCCCCCTGCACCAGCCATCAAATCTGCTGCTTGACCATCAACGAAGAACGGGATTCGGCGTCCATTCAGCGGGGTCCAAGTTTGCGAAAACCGACTGGTTGCATTAGCCACCTCGGGATGCAGAGTTGAAGAAGACATATTGAGTCGATTGAAGATGCGTTGCTCCACAAACTCGCGGTATGGCATACCAGCATATTTAGACACGATGTAGGCTCCAGTAAAGTACATCTAGTCGAGTTGTTAGGTGTAGCCAATGGAAAGTGGGGAACCATTCACCTGGTTATTGTACTCCCAGAATTGCCGCATCTCGTAGGCCGTTCGTAAGTTCTTGATCTTGGAGACAACGTCTGCTGGGGTGTCTTGTGGAGAGTAACATCCTTCATGACTGAGCTTTGTTAGACGAAAAGGGAGACAAAAGAGAATAGACGGCAAACTTGGGAAGTCCCGTTCGGTGTGATAGTAAGTCCTTCAGATCAGCTTTCTGGGTCGCCCACTCATTGTCCATTTCCCATTCGTCCGGCAGTAAATCCCGGAGTTTGGTGCTCCAATCAAATTGCTTCACAGCACTTGGGAGCGTTGTTACATTTCTGCCCTCCGCAAAGTCCTGCATCAAGAGACCAATGGATGCGGGCAGAAACTGCTTGGAACACGAGCCTAGACCGAATATCGTCTGCATATAACATTTCAATAGAAACATACTGACGAAAAGAGAGCACATACATTAGATGTCACTGCCTCCCCGCTCTCCGTTCTCCTCCCCCAGTTAGCATACTCGACAGCGCCAGTTGGTGATATTATCGCCATTGACATCCCAACGATGCGTGCTTCATCAAGGATGTTCTGGATGTAGCCAAACAGCGGCTTGTCGATGAGTTTTGCGTTGGCAAGGCGAAAAAGACCCAGAAGTATTGCGGCATTGCTAGCTTTAGAAAAGTGCATTGAGCGTTCGGGAATGAGTTCAGGTGTTGTTGCCAAACCCAACCCATCCTCGAGCTTTTAAACCGTCGTCGTCCGAGCAAGCCCGTGCGCAGTGAGTGCTATTGCGTTCTCTATTGCTCTGAGTGTATAAGGCCGACGACTTGCGGAGGCGAAAATAACTCGCTGCATTTTGGTTGAATACAAAGCAGCGCTGGCGATGTTACGAGAGGAATACCACCAGGCTCATTCGGTGAAGTCAGTATCCAAGATGATGGCTCTGGCACATCATCTGCGTGAAGCATGGCATTGGCTGAGCGCTGGGGCATGTGGCGATTCCATTTCCGCAACATTCCGAGTTGACTTGTGAGGAAAGGGAAACATATGTCACATATCACGGGACATGCTCGTCACACCTTCACTTTGACCTCCGCGACAGTTGTCCAACCCGCAATGCTTGCGCTATACACCTTGATGTGTGAGCATACTGCCCATACGTTTTCACAGCCCCAGACGTCCATCACGATCTTGCTCGGATTCGTTGAAGATGCGAGAAATTTGAGGCCGTATCATTTTTCATGAAGGCTGGCGTCTGCGTCCAAGTACGTTTCTGTGGCTTACATAGCTTCCAGCGCTCAACCTAGAATGACAGTTAACGTTTCGACGCTCATAAATCAATAGCATTGCCATTAATAGCCATTGGGACTCTCAACTGGTTGCAAAACTGGCAGTTGGGCAGCAGCAAATCGAACGCCGGACGAGTCAAGCTCGCCATTTCGAAGGATGCAACTGGCAGAGGAGTGATGGACGTCATGAAAGCAGACAGACTTGGATAGGTCGACGAGCTGTCCATCTGCCAACTCACTCGTACAAAAGCTACTTCGCAGGCAAGACCGCCACCAGACTGCCTCCTTCCCTCCCCTTCTCTTTTCTCTCAAGCGCCTTTGCGTTTCTTCGTTCCCCTCTTCTCTCGACGAGACTATCTGCATTCTTTTTTCGCCAACTTTAACACAATCAATCAAATCAGCAAACCACAATGCGCGCATTCCTCCCTGTCTCGTTCTTGCTCTTGGCCAACTTCGTGAACATCCTCGCTGCCCCAGTGGTCGTAGATGTTCGCGCGCCCGCCTCTCACCGGACCCCAGCTACTCGCCGCCTTGCGAAAGTGACGCGTTCTATTGCTGGCGCTCGCGACTGCTCAACCGGTAAGCTTTCTTGCCACTTATAAATAGCAATCTGATGTCGATGGCAAACAGGTGTCTGTGCCCGCTTCAAGGCTGTCTCCAAACGCCAGACTGCTCGTTCACTTGCTGTCCCTCGTGTGCGTTATGCGCGTCAAGATGACGACGACTTCGACGATGGAGATAGCTTTGACGACTCCAGTTTCGACGATACAGACGATTCTGGAGACAGCTTTGATGACACCGATGACTCTGGATTCGATGATTCAGACGACTCCGGAGACTCGTTTGACGACACAGCTGATGCCACTGATGATTCGGATGACACCAGCTTCGACTCTGGAGACTCGGACTCATTTGATGACGGAGCTGGTGGTGATGATTCCGGGGACTTTGACGATGGAACTGGCCTTGACGATGGAAGTGGAGATGTCGATGCTGGAGATGCAGACGACTCTACCAGCGACTTCGATTTTGGCAACGGAGACGATGACGGCAGTGGAGATTTTGACCTGGGAGATGGTACAACAGACGACTCGACTGGGGATTTGGATGGAACGGACCTGAGTGATGGCACTACAGACGACAATGGTGATTTTGGGGACAATGCCGACGAGGATGGGGACTCTCTGGACGGCAGCGACGATCCTGACAGCGACACTGTTGACCCCGACAACACAGACCCTGATAGTGTTGACCCTGACAGCACGGACCCCGACAGCACAGACCCCGACAGCACAGACCCTGATAGCACAGACCCTGACTCCACAAGCTCCGCTGAAGACCCTACCATCACTGGTCCTCCAGATGGGCAAGACTCGAATCCAGATGATGACGATGAGGATTCGTCTTCTAGCTCGGTTGACCCCGACTCAACGAGTACTGTTGATGACGACTCGGCCGATGCTACCTCGACTTCACCTGCTGCTGCTGCCCAAACTCCCGCGAAAGGTTCTTCGTCAAACAAGGGCTCTTCTGGTGCTGCCCCTTCCTCCAATAAGGGATCTGCCGCCCCTGCCTCCAACAAAGGTTCCGCCGCCGCTCCCCCACCAGCTAGCAAGGGATCGTCTGCAGCTGCCCCACCCGCCCAAGCCCCTCCATCTTCTAGCTCCTCTTCGTTAACTTGTGGAGGTGCCGTACCCAACGCTGCCACAATCAACCTCATCAAGAATGCTGAAGGCTTTGTCCCTTCACCTGCCCCGGACCCGATCGGCTTGCCTACTGTCGGTTTTGGCCACAAGTGCACGAGCAAATCATGCGCTATCGCTGGCTTCTCCTTCCCTCTTTCCCAAGCCACCGCCTCGCAGCTGCTCACACAAGACCTCGGCCAATTCGTCTCTTGCGTTAACAGCGCAGTCAGCAACAAAGTCACGCTTACCGACAACCAAGTCGGCGCACTTAGCTCGTTTGCGTTCAACCTCGGGTGTGGCACGCTCAAGTCGTCCACCCTGTTGAAGCGATTAAACAATGGCGAGGACCCTAACACCGTTGCAGCTGCTGAAATTCCGCGCTTCAACAAAGCTGGTGGCAAGGTCCTTTCTGGGTTGGTTAAGCGTAGGGCCGCGGAAGTTGCTCTATTCAAGACACCCTCATCTGTCAAGGCTCACCCTTGCTAGACAGTTGTGGTAGATCGCACATTGTACATCATCATATATTGTTAATCCCAAATATTTGTTGAACAACCATGTTTCTTTGGTCTATGACAGTCCATTGTAAGTAAGTACTTTGGATGGCTCTTGTGAAGTTCCAGTAAGTCTGAAGTAAAGAGTACCAGTAGTATTAGCAGCTAGCCTGATGCGACGCAAGGTTCTGCAACGGCAGTGCCTCCGAGATCTCCTCCAACGCACGCATTAGCAGTTCTTCTTTGTACCGTTTGCCCACCAGCTGGAGACACAAGGGAGCACCTTTGAATGTTTCCGGTCTGTCGGAATCTACACAAGCGGTCATCAGCTTTTCCAGGAGACGCAGAAAAATTTACAGCATTTAGCGTTGTACTCGTCTGCCTCACTCATGTATTCTCTCGGACCATCAGTTTTGTCCAGCGCCGGGTCGCAGAGCAATCCAGTGGGAAAGACCGCCGCCGGGTAGTCGACAAAGTTCCAGACATTGGTATAGCTTTCAAGTTCCTTGCGTCAATATAAGATGGGTTGGTGGTGTAAGACATACGCCCAATATTTGCACGTTCCTAGTTCGGGTGCAGGTCCAGCTCCCGCTGGGCAAAGAACGACGTCAACGTTTTGCGCGTTAAAGTACTCTAAATACTCGGCACGCAAAACCTCGCGCTCCACAGCAAGCTTTTCGGGAATTCAGTTCAGCAGGTATGGATGTGACTCGACGTACTTCCCAATGTTCGTGCATGGTGTGATCCTTTACCGATGGATATGTGATTACCCATTCGGTCAGAGGAAGAATAGGTTCGCCAGTCTCTGCGGCTTTGGAACGAATTCGCGCACCACCATCAGTAAAATATAGCTCATGCTACCAGTATAACTTAGCCATAGCACTGGTAAGCCAACAAAAATGTATTACCGCCAACGCACTCGCTTTATGGTGCTTGAATGGCTTGTAATCAACGACCTCGATGTCATCGATACCCTTCAAAGCGTCCGCAAAAGTCTTCAATGCTCTTCGAACTGGTGGTTGTGGTAGCACCACTTCATCATGCCACATCACACCGACTCGCAAGCGACCATTTGTCCCAGACCAAGAGGGTGAAGCAGGAATTTCCCAGGGAATTGGGACGACCTCGGGTGCTTTGAGCCATGGTTTGGTATCAAGCACGACTGAAAAGAACAAATTTATGTCACGCAGACTGCCGCCAGAGTGAGCTAACACTTGATTCCCAGAAAATGAAAAACCTTCGACATATCGGTCCAAATGTTCCAGAAATCGAATCCGCACCAGGCATCGGTATATACCCATGGCCAGTAGGCAGGCGTGAACAAGTCGGCTCTTCAATCAACCTGATGAGAGTGGTCGCAGTTTCGCAAGGATGAGCACGTACTCAAGGTCCATAGGCCACACGCATTCGAAGGGGAGCGTAGGCTCCCACCGATATCACTGCCAATGCCAAGCGTGGAACCGCCAAACGCGACAAGCGCGCTGCATCCACCTGAGCTTCCTCCTGACGTCAGTGCGGTATTGTAGGGGTTCAAAGTTTGGCCGAAAAATGAATAGGTTTCGAGATGCATGATTGATTGTGGCTGGTTTGTTTTGACGAAGAAAACTAGGTGGGTACGATGTAGCCTGACATGAGCAAGTAGAAGAAGCTTACCTGCACCAGCGTCATAAAGAATCTGTGCTGTGATGCCGTGGTAGGAGGCGGGAGGATGTAGGTAGTCACAAACGAATCCCCCAGAGGACTTGGTCCCCTTCACCATCATGTGGTCCTGTACAATATCATAATCAGCTCAGGATGCAAGGGGGAAGGCAAACCTTCATGTCAATAGGAAGACCTAGAGCACATTATATTCCAGCCCGTCATGATGGTAGTATTGCGCAACTTACCATGGAGCGGTCCTACAAGCTCACCAGTTGTATTGTAATGATCGTCCAACTCCTGTGCGCGGCGCAGCGCTACCTCCATGAAAAAGTCCGTCAAACAGTGCAAAAGTTGTTGTGCTACGGCAGCCCGTTTACAAAATGCACGAGCTACTTGAACCGCAGTAACTTCTTTGTCCTTGATTCGCCTTAGAAGCTAATGTCTCATGAGTTAGGCCAGTACAAAAACTTTGAAACAGGAATTAACCGAAACAGAATCATATTCTGGGTTTGTTATCTCCATCTCATCTTTTGAGAGCAGCCCGCAGGCTGCGACGGCCGCTCTAACGTCCGATCCTGGAGGATATTGGTCGAGAAAGTCTTGCGACAGGCGTAATTCCGGCGGGATCTTGGCGTAGAGTTCGTCGACGAAGCGCAAAGCCACCTACATAGTAGGAGTATGGTGATTAACCCAGGAGTGTTAGTAGAAGCAGACGCGCCTGAGGCCACTCGATATCTGAGTTGGTTGGGGACATGACAATTAACAAGTGCCAGGTGTGAGTGGAGCGAGCTATTTAAGTGCTTGTGATGACGACGGGTTGGAAGTTCTCCTCCTCCGATTGCCCAATGCGCAGCTTGTAGGAGGCTTCGATTTCCTGTTGAACATGGACCCAAGTATGTAGACAGGGTCAAAGAAAAGACTCCAACTGAGATGATCAGCTTGCCACCCCAATTATTTGAAAGCCGAAGGAATAAATTTCACGCCATTTCTGCTCACTTGTGCTGGGGGACGAAGATGTTCGACGTTAAATCACTTTGCAGTTTGAATCTGTTTGATAGCCTAAAGAGACAAAGTAGTGCGACCCAGAGTCTTGTGTTGTAAGGAAAAAGCAAAAATTGTGACGATCACACTCAGGCTGGTCTCAACACAATGATGTCACCAGTCCTAGCATTTACAATACGACGACGAGATGGATGACCCGTTCAAGAATCACCTCTTCGCCATCCTTAGTTCGAATGGAAATAGTCGGACCGCACATGCACAGATTTCGGCCTACGAAGGCCCACGAGATGCGCAAATCGATTTTATTTTGAGTCAAGTCGAACATCTGCTTCAAGTTGGTGCCTCAGCCGCTGCAAGAGTCAGCAAGACAAAGCTCTCTCTCTCAATTTGCCCTACTTGCAGCTCTCCGGCCCAGGAGCCGGTAACATCGAATGAGAACTCAGGAGGGCCACCTTCTCCGTCCAGCACAAGTCGTCCGCGGGACGATGTAGAGAATGAACTACAACAGGTCAAGAATCAGGTATGTTTATACGGTTGGCCTGGGCGTTTGTTTATTGCCGAATAGATGCGAGACGTAGCACGTGTCTGCAAAGCCATGGCTGTGGGGGACCTGAAGCAAAAGTTGACGACTCCTGTTCAGGGCAAACTCATGAATGAGCTGAAGCAGGTATCAGCTGCTTTCTGGGTCGTTTATTACTCCCTGCTGACGTGACCTGAAGGATCTCAACTCAGTAGTCGACAACATGAACAGTTTATCTTCGGAAGTAATGCGCATAAGTTCCGAAATCGGAATTCAAGGCCAGTTGGGTGGGCAAGTGTCAGCTTACGGCGCGGAGGGAGCTTGGAGAGAGATGGTGGATAACCTCAACACGATGGCAGCGACTGTGACACAGCAAGTTCGCTCCGTCTCCGAAACGACACGCGCGTTGGCCACAGGAGATCTGACAATGGCCATTTGTACCGAGGCCAATGGAGAATGGCTGGACCTCAAAGTCACCATCAACAGCTTACTGGAGAGACTCCGATTGTTCGCGGATGAAATACTTCGAATAACACTCGAAGTCGGTGTTGAGGGAAGATTCGGTGGGCAAGTGGAGGTACCAGATATGGAGGGCACATGGGAACAACTGACCAACAACATTAACGTAGGCTCTCATATCCTCCAGGATGTGGTCTAACTTGAGATTTCAGCGCATGGTCGCTAATCTAACTGTGCAGTTACGATCCATTTCATTTGTGATTCACAGGGTCGGTTTAGGCCATTTCGATGAGATGGTCGATGTCCAAGCTTGGGGGGAAATGCTCAGCACCAAGCTCGTTGTTAGCGAGATGGTGACACGTCTCCGACACTTGTGCAGCGAGCTCATTCGCGTCACACAAGAAATTGGGAGGGAGGGAAGGCTTGGTGGACAAGCGCATGTCGAAGGGTTTGGAGGAACTTGGGCAGAACTTGTAGACGGCGTCAACGAAATGACAACCAATTTAACCAATCAACTCCGAGCGACTACCTTGGTTATGAAAGGCGTCGCTTCAGGTGATTGCTCGAAGACCCTCGAGCCCGTGGCTACTGGAGAGCTGCGTGAACTTGAACTCGCCACCAATGGTATCGTGCTGCAATTTCAGAGCCTATCGAACGGAGCCAAGCGTGCTGTTCTCGAAGGGAAGACGATCGCGGGAACTGTGGGCACCGGTGAAGGGTCATGGAGCTGATACACCACTCTCCGCTCAGGCTCCCCAGCTCGATATCAATCCTGAAGCCAGGCCTAATGGATATAGGTGGTATACGTCTAACTTATTTGGCTGTAAATATGTAGTATATCGGGAATTGCATTACTCTCTACCGCAGTCACGATTCGCAAATGGGCCAGTCGGGAACCAGCGTCCCTCAGCGGGAACAGTGACATGTTTCCCTTTTTACTTTTGATATCCACCACCACCAAAATAAAAATGGGCTTACTCCGACGAACATGGACTCATTATGCCGCCACTTTCAGCAATCGTATAACAGCGGCTTACATTGTGCTTACTACGCCATTCGTATAAAGGAAGACGTCAATCGTTTCTTCTTTGCTGACACACTATGGTCTCTCAAGTTATCGTGGTAGCTGGTAAAGTTGTGTACTTCCACCAGTCCCTCCGTTCATCACTCATAGGTATCGGCAACGGTTCTGGAACTGGCGGTGCCGTTGCGTTGGTGGCGCTCTTTCCCTCCGACCTAAGCTAAACTAGTTTCTAGTCGGCGCTTTGCTCAAGAAGGATATGCAGTGGCTCTGGTCTCGCGCGGGGAAACAGCTCTGAATGCGCTTGCTTCGAGCATAGTCTCATCTGGAGGCAAGGTGAGTCTCCATGACTATCACCTTTTCCAATCTCCTAAACGTTTTCAGGCTGAAGCCTTCGCTGTTTCAGAGTACAGCGGCGACCAAATAACCGCCGCCTTCGCCGCCGTCCAGGCCCGTTTCCCCGCCCCTCAATTCGCCATTTCTGTCGCTGTTTTCAATGCAGGCCACGGCACGTGGAAGCCTTTCCTGCAAGTGACCCCGGACGACATTCGCGAGTCCAACAAAGTGAACATCGAGGCGTCCTTTGCCTTCGCACGTGCCGCAATTCTGGCTTTTCAGACCAACACCCCCACGGGCAACAACGGCAAGGGGACGCTCATCTTTACTGGCGCCACAGCCAGTTTGAGGGGGAACGTGACGACCAGTGCATTTGCGTCGGGTAAATTTGCGGTCCGCGCGCTGTCGCAGAGTCTGGCGAAGGAGTTTGGGAAGGAAGATATCCATGTGGGTGCTTGTGATGCATCCAGGCGATTGACTAATAGTCAGGTCGCTCACGCTATCATCGATGGAGGAATCGCGACGGGTAATACTCGTGGGGACAGAAACACGCCTCCGAGTGGGCCAGTGGAGAACCCCAAGCCGGCTGGCCTGCTCAGCCCTGACAGTATCGCCAATGTCCGTGCCATCTAGTCTTTTTTGTCACTTGACGCTAACATCCTGTAGTCGTACCTCTACCTGGTCAACCAAGACCGGTCATCGTGGACTTGGGAGATCGACCGTAAGTCCCATACCGATTGCAACGTCTTATCTCACAGTCGACGCAGTTAGACCTGCACATGAAAAGTGGTAGTTCTAGACAAGACAAATGTAAAGTGTACCACCAATCGATGCTCAATACAACAAACCAAGAGATACGATGCTAACTATCATGAAGCCAAAACATTGGGGCACCAGATTATAAGCCGCATTAGAGCTTGTCCGAGTCGGTTGCGCTGAAGCTCCTGAAAAGTTTGAGTAACATGATGCAACTCAGTCCATACTCACCTGAAGCAGTGGCAGATTTTGACATGGACGCGGTAACACCCAACGATGCAAGCGGAATGCCATTTGCAATAGACGAAGTGGTGACACAGTTCGACGAGCTCGGGATGGAGGCAGGTGCTGTTGGGGTTACAAGATCTCCAACGGTGTAACCCGTCTCTTTACCGTTCGACCCGGTGTAGACACCAGTGAAGTACTGCGCAAAAGTGGAAAACGATGTGGAGCCGCTGTTGTCGACTGAGGGGTACCACCCTGGGGGATAAGCTACGTCTGCGTCACAAGTTTCGCTGATGACAAAATTACTGCTGATAGACCAAGAGAGACCGAACTCACAAGATTCCAGGTGGGTTGTAGGTTCCTGGCATGACAAATTCACAACCCATAACATCCAGCTCGTGCCAGCACATATGGGCCGCATCGTACGTGGCGTTTGCGTTGGTACAGGCACGAATGCAGAACACAGTGTTGCTCATGAACAACATCCATTCCGCTATCGGCTCATCAACGTTGTCCACGATGTTGGTTGTGACATTGCCCCCGACAGGATTGCCAGCGCCTGTCGCCCCATGCGGATCGAGTTCACCGCCTTCGTCGCCAGCTACGACATTGAGTAAGGTGAAATTTCCCGTCCCCATGATTTGCTGTATTTCATCAGATACGCAGCAAGGTCGTCGAAAGCCGCGCTACCACGTAGAACGATGTTTTGAGGAAAGACACCTTTGTCAATATTAACATTGTGCAAGTCCAGCAAACAGATGTCGACGCACGCCGGTTATAGTGCCGTCAGGAATGACCCGAGCATTATTGCGTGGCTTCGTGCACCAAGCAACCTCCTCAGTCTATTGAGAGCAACATTTCTTGGGTCCCAAATGAACAAGCGAACCGAAAACTTGCCTCGGTGTCGGAGATGTTGGCGAGCACTGGTGGTGCAAACAAACAAAAGTCATCAATGGAGTTGAGAGTCAAGAGGCGAGCCATGGACGTCTGGTTGATTCTCGTGCCTAGTGTCGGTGCGGGCGGATTGGTGACCCCCATTGTGCCGGTTGCGATAACACCTTGAGGGAACGATGCAGCGGCATGAGGGGAGGTAGACAATCAGGAGGCCGACGGAACGCGCAAAAGCAGAAATAAACTTGAATGGCGGCATGGACGGGGCTGGGGCTGGTGCAGGGTGAGCGCTAGTGAGCGGCCTGAAGGAACCTGGTGCCAGTTAAGCTCATAATCCACTTACCTTACTTACTAATGCATGGCTTCTGTTCTGGTCCCGACTCGGAAGCTAAGGCCGCTCACTTGTTCAAGGTTGTGGAGACCATTGTTGGCGCCCCCATTGTCTACATAACGAATGTAGAACACCCAGTCAAGTTCAAGTTACTAGTCGTAAGCCACTATGTAGTATTTGGTACCGTTGTGTTTTGATGCTAATAAAACTTCCTGACTGTCGGTGTTTGCTTCCTGCCCAAGGCTGCCTTTTTACTTATGAGTTGGATCAATGTATGGCAGTACTTATACGACCCATCTACTTGCACTTGCAAATCCCGCAATCCCATCAATTGCAAGACGGATCACTATATAGTGCTATCACGGACAGATATAGCCTCAAAGCGCAAAAATGTCTCATCCGCATTTCGCCCTAATTGGGAAATGATACCATCATCTCACCTTTTTGCTCTTCCCCTCATCCCAATGTATCGCACTTCCTCTGCCAACATTCTTCATCGTGTCCCGAGCTATTTTTACTCGCGGTCCGAGATGTCGTGAGGCATTTCGCGTTGCCAAGACCCTTCTTGCTCACCGACGACCCATGCAGACTGGCGTAGGCGACCCATTCGCCTCTGGACTATCTCCAAGAACACCGAGATTTTCACCGCGAACATCTCGTTCTGTCGCATATCGAAAATTTGAAGACACCCTTGATGGCACTGTCTTCGATGAGGCAGACGGCGACGAAATAACACTTCTTGGAGACGACGAGCGCCAACAATATGCCGCCAGTTTAGAGGACGGATATGGACTAGCAGCTCGTCCAGCGGCGGTCATGTCGGGCGAGGACAAGCGCGGAATGGCATTGTTGTTGATTCTTTGTGAGTGGCCTTAAACTTTGTGTGGCCACGAACTAACGCCGTCGAAGACTTGATTCAAGGTGTTCCAGTGCGTTAATTATCTTCATCTCATCGCTATCTTCACGACACGTCAGCTTGGCTTGGCTCTAGGTGAGCATTGTCTTGGCTGTTGCTTCCGGTCATTGAACATGACAACAGGATCCATGCCGTTCATCCTTCAAAACAGTCTTTCGTATTCCCAGTTAGCCACCTTTGCGCTGTGCGGCTATCCATACTCGCTCAAGCTGCTATGGTCGCCTGTTGTCGACTCTATCTTCAGTTCCCGTATCGGCCGTCGCAAATCATGGGTCATTCCAATGCAACTCATCAACGCGACGTTGATGCTTTATATTTCCATGAGCATACAACATCTTATGGACGAGGTAAGCGTCAAGCTGTCTGGCTCGATGCTTGCTCACTCTTTTGTGCAGCCAAGCCTCCACGTCACTCATTTAACCAACGTATTTACTGCTCTCGTCTTCTTCTCTGCCACTCAGGGTTTGTCATCATTTCAACCACATTCCCTTAATAATCGGGCTCGTAGACATCGCTGTCGATGGATGGGCGCTCACTTTACTCTCACCAGAGAATCTATCCTATGCGTCAACCTGCCAAACGATCGGTCTCAACACCGGATATTTCACATCCTACACCGTCTTTCTTGCCTTGAATAGCCCGACCATAGCGTCAGTCTGTTTTCCTAGTATATTTGTGCAGACAACTAAAACTGAACAGTGATCGCTGGGGCACACCTCAACTCACGCTTGCAGCCTATCTCAAATTCTGGTGCTGGGTGTCATATGCTGTCACTGTTCTTGTTGTCTTCAAGAAAGAGGTCCGTGTGCTACTTTTTGATCTATCACCGCGTCAACATTCTACAGAAGAAGGATTCTGTCAGCGACTCGGGCCTGACTATCCGAGAAGTTTACCGGCAAATCTGGGATGTTGTTAAGATGCAGCGTGGGTCTAACTTGATGTTTCCAGACCCATCTTAATCCACCTAGACATCCGCTCACTCAGCATCATGTTTGTCCTCGGAAAAATAGGTTTTGCCGCGAACGATGCCGCAACTTCACTAAAAATGGTCGAGAAGGGTCTCAATCGCGAAGACCTTGCTGTCGCTGTGCTCATCAACTTCCCTTTCCAAATATTTGGCGGTTGGCTCGTTGGCAGTTGGTCTCGCGGCGACTACCCTCTGCGTCCATGGGTTTACACCTTCTGGCCAAGGATAGGTTTTGCCTTTACGGCTATGCTGATCGTGTATTGGTTTCCTACTCCACCCTTGACAGGAGGCTTCTTTGTCTTCCTAGTCATACATACGGTATTGACGAGTTTTACTTCGTAAGTCTTTCTGCTAGCGGGGTTTCTAAATCTAGACAGTTGATAGGACGATTCAATTCGTTGGGAGCTCTGCCTTTTTCACGCGGATCTCTGACCCAGTTATCGGTGGAACATATATGACTGTGAGATCCTACTACAGTGTTTTAACGTCTGCCTGATTGATTGTCCAGCTTCTGAATACTTTTTCTAACGTCGGAACGATGTGGCCCAAGTGGTTCGTCTTGAAGAGTACGTGAGCTGCAATATTCTCCCCATATCTGACACATCTTAGGTATTGACCTGTTTACTGTTGCTACGTGCCAGATCGAGGATGATTCGACGTATATCGGTGAAGGTACAGCCTCAGTATCCTCCCACTGATTCAGAATCCTACTCTGACCTCCGGACCACAGTTGCAACGGAATGCAGCACACAACTCGGGAAGAAAATGTGTGCTGATGTTGAAGGAGTCTGCCTGGTGACACGAGATGGGTACTACGTTGTGACGACGCTCTGCATGGTGTTTGGCGTCTTGTTTCTGCTCTTCTACACCATTCCTACGGCCAGAAGGTTGCAATGTAGGGCGATATCATGATCTTGGTGTATTACTGATCAGTCTTCAGCTTTATCCATCAGTTCGTGGCGTGTCAAGTTATAGCTTTCCATTTTGCTTTCGGAGTCACGGACATTCACATTTGGAGCACACATCGTATATGTAGATCACATTCAAGATGAGCTTGGATCATCCGGAAGTCGAGACCAAGTTTCTCTTCTGCGCAATGCATTCTTATGGAAAGAAATTGGAGATTTTCCGAAAATTTCCACTTTTGGGACTGACGGTCACGTTGTGACAGCTTCCTCCTATCTCAACGACGATGAGCACCCAGCTAGCCATTTCCGCTCTCCTCAACAGCTTCAAAGATGACACGCAGGACCCTCCCACCCTGTTCAATGCACTGAAGATTTTCCTACAGTGTGCTCCGGACCAGAAATGGCGAATAATAGAAGTAGTTGGTCTAGAGGGGTATAAGTTGCTCTACGAGAAACTCCCCTGGGATCTCATCGAGGAATTGTGAGCGATCATTCAAGTTATTTCTGTAGACTAATCGGTCTCTTGTATGGTGCAATCCCTCCAAAACGACACGTCTGATGATCGACGACGGCACCTCATTCGCCTGCTCGGACAGCTGAGACCAAAGGTCCATGAGGTTGCTACGGGATGGTGTAGGAAACAAGCCATTAAATTCTTGGCCTTTCGAGACCCCAGTGACATGCAATGGTTGCTCGATGCTCTTGTCTCTGCTAATGCAACTTCATTCATCGACGAGTGCGTGCTGGCTGGACTGCACAGGCCATTTACTGAGTACCAAGTAGTGTCCTTCCTGTTTTAAAGTCGAGGAAGCTCACCCAGTTCTTCTGGGTAACTTTCATCCGTACTATCCGTACGGAATCGAGCAAGAACAGCGCAGGCAAACTTTCAAGTCTTGAATCCTCAGTCGTCGCCGATCTGGTCCGTCGTTGTCTGTGTATCATTATTGACGATCTGGATGTCTTCACTATCTATATGACTTGCTATCCGACTGGAAAGAACATGACCGGCGAGAAAAACCTGCTCAAGATGTTTGAACTCTGCCACGAAACGGACAACGTGGTGCTTACCTCCCTCATAATGACGAAGATGCGACAAGCTCGGGCGCAGAAGCCGAACGAAGACTACAAAGAATTCTTCCTCGTCCTTTCCCCATTAGCGATCAAGGTCGTCACATCCAAAGACAATCCAAGCTGGGAATACTATGTTGGACTCTATCAAGAGTTTCTGGGGAATATTCTGGAGGCCACCTTACGTGTACCTTCGGCCGAGGCAAATCGCCGGAGTTGTGAACGTACCCCTACCTGGTGTGATACGTTGAACGAGGAAAATATTCCACCTAACCTGCCCACTTATCCCCTCTAGTTAGAGCCTCAGGGGGGGGGTGAAGCTCTAACTAGAGGGGATAATGAATATCCACTGTGTTTCCTTAAACTCCCTTCTGGATGTTAGTGGACAGGATGTTAGTGGACAGGGAGTCTTTGGGGGGGAAGGGGGGAGGCCGGCTGGGGGGAGCGGGCTGGGGAGCGGGCTGGCCGGAGCATCAATGGATGATCACTGGATGACACGATGACAGCGAAGGTCATCATCGCTGTCTGCTGTCAAGTCCCGCCCTCTGCCCGCCCTCCCCCGCCCTCATCCCATCACTGCCATCAAAGTTGCTGATGGCTGTTGATCTTGGGGTCGCCCATGGTCCCGCCCGCTGTCCCGATCTGATGGCGCATCAAAAAACGAAAGTTGTGCAGAATGCTCTGCTGATACTAAATGTACAAACCGTTTATCAATAGCTTAAGTAGTTAAGGAGATATAAGCCTTTTGATCTAGTGATGGATGAGTCTGAAGTTACATAGTAGACATCTTTTATATGGGATATTTGGAGGATTTTAATATGGTATGAGCATGTAGGGCAATTTATTATTTGGGTATCAATATGTAAGTCTCTATAGAAGGTGTTGGGACTGTCAGTAGAGGATCTGAGACATAGTTAGCAAGGGGAGTGCTTACAATTTATGATGTGCACTAACCTTGGTTGGGAGGGCATCTGGGGGGAGGGGAGGGGGGGTTGACAGACAGGCCATAGAATGTGTTTCATCCTGCTGAAGTCCTCCACTTATGATAATATAGTTAATCATGTCTACTAACTTCCCTAGCACAGAAGTTAGTGGACATCTTTCACCACTTTGGTTAAGGATGGAGCTGGTAGAGGAATAATATTGCCACTACAGACTAGAAGGTCTACTGGCATATTTTCATGGCACTAAAGTCCTGGATTAATAATAGTTTAGTTGACCATGTCCACTAACTTCTGTGCACAGAAGTTAGTAGACATATTTTATAACTTTGGTTGAGGAAGCAGCTGAAAATGCACAAGTGTGAGATGTCAGGCTATGGAGGGTCTACTTGGAGTACTTTTATCCTGCAGAAGTTCCAAATTCATTATAATATAGGTGAGCATGTCTACTAACTTCTGTGCCTGTGAAGTTAGTAGACATCTTCAGCCACTTTAGTTGAGAAAGCAGCTAGTGGAGGGATATATGACATGACAGGTTCATTGGCGTCTCTTTTATGCTACTGAAGTCCCAAATTGATGATAGTTTAGTTGACCATGTCCACTAGCTTCCCTACACAGAAGTTAGTAGACATCTTCCACTACTTGAATTGAGAAAGCAGCAGCTGGAGAGGCACGTGACATGACAAGTTATGGAAGGTCTACTGGCATATTTCTTATACCATTGAAGTCCACATAATAATATAGGTAAGCATGTCTACCAATTTCTGTGTCATGGAAGTTAGTAGACATCTTTCACCACTGGTTGAAAAAGCAGACAGGGGGGAGACATGTGTCGTGCAAGGCCATAGGAGGTCTTCTGGAATGCAGTTTATCCTGCTGAAGTCCTGCATTTGTGATAGTGTAGTTGACCATGTCCACTAACTTCTCTGGCACAGAAGTTAGTAGACAGGAAGTTAGTAGATATCCTCCAACCCTTTAGTTGATAAAGCAGCTGGGCTGAGGGGAGGACATGTGTCATGTCTGGCAATGGAAAGCTCACTTGGATCTCTTCTATGCTATAAATTTATAATAGTTACATTGTTGGAAGTTAGTGGACACCTTCAGTTTGCAAGGCCCCCCCCTTGCGATCCAGGATGTCTACTAACTCCCCTGGAGTAGAGATTAGTAGATGTCTTCCCCTGGGTTGGTTGACAAGGTAGCTAGGAGGATATGCAGGCCATAGGAAGTCTACTGGTATGTCTTTTATACAGCTAAGGCCCTTTGAACTAATGCAATGTCCACTGCACAAAAGTTAGTAGACATCACTTTCTGGCCAGAGCATACTAATGTATGTTTCAATGTCATAGAGAGTCTACTAGGTCCCTTTTTCAAGGGATTCATTGAAGATAATATACATGCCATATCCATAAATGCATGGAAGTTAGTGGTCCTAATCCACTACTCTAGTCAAGGAGAATCTGGGGCAGAAATATGTGACATGGTAGGCTATGGAATATCTACTAGCATGTTTTGCATGCATGCTATAGCTGGCAATAACTAGGGCAGTAAACTTACTCCAGGGCCTTGCAGAATGCATAGTTCCTACTGCTATACGTTCATTACCAATTATCTGACCAAGTTGAATAACTTAGGAGACCATTTTATTAGCTACTCAATAGTCCAAATGTATGTCACAGGTCTTTAACAATCATATATACCTAATACCCTGAAGTTAGTAGACAACAATTAAACACATTGTAACTCAGGAACCGCTGCATCAATCCAAATGAATGAAGTATGTAATGAAATATCTCATCTAGCAATGTATTTATAGATGTTCTCCTGAGACTCCTTGGGGATATATGTAGCTAAATACTTAGAGATCATATATAACTATCCTATAACTTTGGGAGTATTTCATTAATCATAATAAATGACTCATGAGGGGACCCTACTATTCAGTACTATGGTTTGATATTTATCTCCTTGACTTATCAGCTTGCATAAGTGGTTAAATATTAAGAGACTATCAATCAATATGTTATAAGGGAAGAAGGATTGGGTTTGTAAGCATAAATGAAGTCTAGGCAGAACTACTCTGTGAATGGCTTCAATTGTACCCGTTGTCTTTGACATCTCTCTTGTTCTAAGGCCTTGAAATATAGAAAATATTGCTGCTCTGCCATTAAAGAGCTATCTCTAAGCTTGCCTATAGTCTAAATGAACTGATTACATGCTGTAGGACTTCATTCTATGTATTCCTGTAAGTTTACAACAAGTTTCCATGGATGGGATGTGAGTAAACAGTCCATCAGTAGTTTGTGGGTCCCATCACAGATAAATGATACTAATGGATCTCAGTGTAAAGTCCATGGATATGCCTCCTGAAGCAATCATCCTCAAGATATGACACTGTATATGATACTAGACCATCAATACCCTTCACCCCTTTAACCTTCCCTATGATATTTTCATCTTTCCTAGTGCTGACAGACAGATTCTGATGGCAAATTTATTTTGAGCTCAATTCTTGGCAGATCTTGATGGGTGTGGGGTCTATGGACTCAGGACAACTCTCTTAATGATTCCAATCATGTCTGATTTCTCAATTATATAGAGTGCAAGGCAAATACCTGTGCAACAGGGGCTACCATATCTGCTGTTCCTGATATGCTGGGACAGAAATCTCTGAAGTTTCTGGGAGCTGTATACTCCCTGACACCGGATCTATAGGTATTTCCATACAATATAAAGTGTTGATAGCTTGGTGCATCCATCATATTTGGGTTAGATAACATAGATTATGATATTGTGAAAGATCCATGACAGTTGGAAGGCTCACCTGAGCGCCAAATATGTTCATTTCCAGTATATCTAACGGTCTGCAATAAAGTTTTGGTCAATATCTTAAAAATTTTTGACATGTCATTTTTGCAATTGAGACCAGGCACAATTGCACTTAAGGACCAACCTGCCTTTGACCTCATATTCAGACACATTTCAGAACAACAACTATTTATTGTTTGGGATCCTAGTAGGTGCTCAGAAACACTTCTCTCATCTAATTTACTTCAGATAC